TGATCAAAATTCAGACGCTGGTGAATAACTCGTATTTATGACGGTCGCAGCGCCCCGGGGGGGTCATGTGATTCCTCCTTTTTGCGACCTTCTGACGAGCAGAAGTCAGCAGAGAAGCCAGATTCACTTAACGACTTAATAACTGCAACCATTCATGTCACCAGTGCGGCTAAGAAAGGTCGTAAAACAGGGCAATACACACTTAACGAACATCTCGCTTAACAGCAGACATTTTGGGCTCGATTCTAGTCATAAGTGGAAGACCTGCACCCCATTTCGTGACTGTTCTTGCCACATTCGTTAAGGGAATCGCTGCGGTGGCTAAATTAGTCATCCAGTCATTAACCTTCCGCCGCGAATTAAAAACATGGTTGTTCACATTGCCCAGCCTGGACTGAGAGGGTTTTTAGATTTTGGGGTTTTTAATATAAATTATATACATACATTTATGTATTTTATATTTTTAACTGGTAGTTTTATTGTTGTGAGCCGCCCTGAGTCCTCGGAGATAGGGCGGCATATAAATTTTATTAAATAAATAAATAAATAAATGAATAAATAAGTGAATCTGGCTTCCCCGTGGACTTCTGCTTGTCAGAAGGTCGCAAAAAGGGGAATCACACGACACCCACTGGGGCGCTTAAACCGTCATAAATATGAGTCATTCACCCAGTGTCTGAATTTTGATCACATGACCACAGGAATGCTGCAATGGTCGTAATTGTGAGAAACGGTAATAAGTCTGTTCCGTTATTAACTTCAAACGGTCACTAAGTGAACTGTTGTAAATCGAGGATTATCTGTACCTGTATGGCCAATTAAACAAAAAGCCAATTGGTGGAAATGTAACCAAAAAATGGGCACATTTTATCACATGTGGTGGACTTGCGCCAAAGCAAAAAAAATTTGGGCCAAGATAACACAGGTGGCTAGAAACAGATGATAGGGAAACATGTAGAATTTAAACGTGAATTGTTTTTATTAGGCATAATATCAGAAAAACGTGATAAGAAAAGTATGTACTTAATATTACATGTTTTAACAGCAGCGAGGATTATATTCGCGCAATATTGGAAAAATGAAGATATACCACAAGATGAAGAGATAGTCGGGGAGATTGTGCAGAAATGGATAGATTGACATTGAAAACTAAACAGAAAGAGGATGTAGAATAGTATCAAACATGGAATTTATTTTACCAATAGTTGGGGAAAAAAGGGGAGATTAAGAATGCAAATTTGTATTGTTAAGTTAATTAAATACCCAGACAATCTGATTAAGCACTAAGAAATGTATTTCATAGAAAATCAAACAAACAAACAAACAAACAAAAAGCCGATTGATGAAATGCATCCGTAATAAGACAGCTTTCCATTACTTCTTGGAGGAACTGGAAGCAGCAACGGGAATTTGTGAAACTGTTTGCTGCCTGCTTAAGTCACAAATTTAAGGATTTGTCTTGACAGGGACATGATGAAGAGTCTTAATAAAAATTTTCTTTAAAATGATGTCCAGAACTGAAGAATGTGTGGGATGAGAGCAAAGAAGTTATTTCACCCTGACCTGAAAATTATTTTTATGCAGCAGCTTAAAAATTGTGGGTTTTTTTTCTTTTATTTTTTGCAACCGCATCACGTTGCTTGACCTATAACTCAGTTTATCGTGCATCGGTATTCCAAAATTATTTGATGTCATGACTAAATGGGGTAGGTCACCTTTGATATTTGTCCTTTCATTTCCTTTTGCTAAGTGAAGGAGTTAATATTTAGGTTGGTTCAGTTTTGTTTTGTTTCTTTTAGCTCACTTTTACCTTATTTGCAGGGGTGGGATTCAAATAATTTAACAACCGGTTTTCTGCCCTAATGACTGGCTGGGTGGGCGTGGCCATGGTGGGTGCGGCCAGGGGGTGTGACAGGCAGCACTCGGCGTCCTGCACCCCCCTGGGAGCAAAAACAGGCCGGGGGGGAGATGTGCCCCCTTCCCCATTTTGGGCCTAGGAGGCCTTCCTGAAGCCTCCTGGGATTGAAAACGGGGTGCGGGGTGGGGGGCGCACCCCCCCGTGCCCCATTTTGGGCCTAGTAGGCCTCCCTGCACTTACCTGGGAGCCAAAATGGTGCATGTAGGAACTCCGGGAAGGGGCGGGGCGGGAAGGGGCGGGCCCAGTCAACAATTTAATTACCGGTTCGCCCGCCGAATCCCACCACTGCCTATTTGAGATACAGATTTATTGCAATATTTTTTGCACTTATGGGACAGAAATGTATCTTTTGCTTGCCTTCTTCCTCCTTGGGTGCAAAATACAGATTATTAGATTTTTGTCACATCCAGTAAATAACCATCAGATTCCTGAGAATGTCTGTAAGAGTTGCCTTTTCTTAAGAAATTCATCTGGATCTTATTTTAAATCCATAAATTTCAATAGTGAGTCACCATGTTTATACTAGATCTTGAGTATTAATAGAAGACGTCGTTAAAAAGTATGCCATTCCCCCACTTCTGTTAACTCATCCCGCTTCTTCTTTTTTTAAAATTAGGGTTAAATAACATGTTTTTTTCCGCTGAGGAATTCTCAAGACATTTAAAACAATGCATCCCTTTGAAGCCACATATTTGGGATCCAACATTCTCTTGTTTTTTGGTTTTGCTTGGGAGCGATTAACTAATATTTGGCGAAGTAGGAATTTGGGAATAAAATAATTTCCCATAAGGATGTCAGGGCCTTCCCGAAACTGTTAAAGATACATATTTAGCAATATCCTGAATACAGTCCAAAGTCCAGAGGGTAGGAACCTACTGTTGTGGCCCGTCAGCGGCTGTGCGGATTGTAGCTGATTCTGACAGCAAGGAGGCTGGTGTGGTGCTGTGCCAGCAGCCTGTGCAGCTGACACTCGAGTCAGACAGTGAGGAGGCTGGAGATCTGATGCTGCAGATGTCGTAAGTGTGAAAAACTGGTCATAAGCTCCTTTTTCCAGTGCCGTTGTAACTTTGAATGGTCCCTAAACGAACTGTTGTAAGTCGAGGACTACCTATTCCGGAAGATACAAGTTCGATGGACGTAACTTCTGACGTTTGCTCAGGGGATTTTGCACGTACCGACCAAGCCAGCCTCACTCACGTAGATCTTGGCTCTATCTGGAGACCGGTGGAAGCGCAGGGGACTTTCGAACCCTTGGCCAACCTCCAACCGGTCGCTATGTTGAATTGTAGGTGCTTCTTTAGAAGACTTCGTTGCTTCACGTCTGCTTGCTGCAACGTTTCTCTCTCGTTTCCGTGCGGTCGTGGCTGCTGCCGCCGCTGCCTTCTTTCGCTTCCTGTCGGAGGAAGTCTGCTTGATGGAACTTGTTGAAGACTGATTTTCAAACCCGTCTAGCTTTTTCTCGGGGGACGACTCACCCTCGCTGCGAGTTACTGCGAATTTTACGTTGTTAAAATTGGGAACGAGGGGTCCTGGGTGCTCTCTGAGCTGGGTGGTTTTCTGGCAGACGTTTCATGACCCAACTAGGGAACATCATCAGTGCTAGAAAGAATTGGGTTTACAGGGAGGAGGAGGAGGAGGAAGATGAGTAGTAGTAAGACTGTGGGGTCCTTGGTGCTCTCTGAGCTTGCTTCTTTTCTTGCAGACGTTTCATGACCCAACTAGGGAACATCATCAGTGCTAGAAGGGAATGGTGTTTGCAGACAGAAAGAGGAGGAGGAGGAGGAGGAGGAAGAGGAGGCGGCGAGCACTGTAGGGTCCTTGGTGCTCTCTTGCTTGCTTCTTTTCTTGCAGACGTTTCATGACCCAACTAGATAACATCATCAGTGCTAGTAAGGAGTGCAGTTTGTTGCCAATTTATATTCTGGGGACTTTCCTGTCTGCATGGGTGGAGATGGTCTTAGAGATTCCTTGGTTGGGCTGTTTACTGTTGGCTCTTTGGCAGTTCCTTGATTGGGGTGTTGCTTACTTGACGGTGGGTCTGAAGTTGACCTTGGAGCTCATCTATGCTGATCTGGGTGCGGATTACAGGTGGAAGAGGGGCTGGAGTCTTTTTGTTCTCTGTTGGGCTGGTTTGAGTGTCTCTTTTGCACAGTCTGCAGACTATGGAAATGGTGCATGTGATGATGATGATGATGATAATAAACTGGGGCTGACCTTTTTGAACTTTGGTAGATCTAGGAAAGCTACATCGAGTTGGACGGTTTGATGAGAGCCAGTTTGGTTTAGTGGTTAAGGCACCAGGCTAGAAAGCAGTGAGTTCTAGTCCCGCCCTAGCCATGAAAGCCAGCTGGGTGACGTTGGGCCAATTTGCCGGGAGAAGGACAGTTTGAACCATTGAATCAGCCTTCAGAAGTTGTGAGTGCTCCAACACTGGAAGCTTTTAAGAAGAGTCACCTTGTCTGAAATGGTATATAGGGTGTCCTGCTCTAGCAGTGGGTTGGACTAGAAGACCTCCAAGGTCCCTTCCAACTCTGATATTTTGTTATCACTAGAATACAGGTATTATTTGTGCAATCATCATCATCTCCTCCTCCTCCTCCTCCTCCTCCTCCTCCTCCTCCTCCTCCTCCTCCTCCTCCTCCTCTTTGCAAACCCCACTCCCTTCCAGCACTGAATATGCTACTTAGTTAGGTAATGAAACGTCTTGAAGGAAATCACCAAGCTCAGAGAGCACCAAGGACCCCACAGTCCTCTTCCTCCTCCATCTCCATTTTTTTATTCTACATTAATATACTCCCGTAGCTCTTGACATGCCTCCCCATTCGTAGGTCAGTGAGTGACCCAGCAACCGACGTAACAGACGAAGCCCAGAATCTCCCTACACAGCCACAAAACACACGGCATCGGTGTTCTGTGACCTAGAGCCCAACTAGCAAGACGTATTTACGAAACCCTCTTCTCTCCAGAGGATGCTTTGAAACCCGAGTCGCTTTGCGCCCGTGCCCGTATTTTCAGTAGCGTCTCGCTCCTTGAAAAACCTTCCCTAAAGTTTTTGTTTTGCGGCCTCTGTTTTCCCGAACAGCTGGGCGATCCTTCCATCTTTCCCGCCGTCATCGTGGAACACGTGCCGAGCGCCAATCTCCTGAACAACTACTCGGGTTTATCTTGCGTGACGGAACCGAACGACATGATCACGGAGAATTCACTGGACGTGGCGGAGGAAGAAATCATAGAAGATGACGATATCACCCTTACAGGTGTGTGTAAAAATTTTCTTCCCCCCCCCCCCCATTGCAGGTGGAGACACCATGACTCAACCAGGTATGATTTGCATCCAAGCCAAAGTTGCGGTTTACTTACTTCGATTATCGTCTTTATTTGGGTAGGTTCACGATCTGAAATGGATGCACGTCCACAGGGGCTTCCATTCCGCACGGTTCAAAATCTGTAGAGATTCTCAGTCATCCACGTCATGGTTGACCCAAAGGTGATGGAGAACCATCACTTTTGGGACAACGTAACGGACCAAAAATGGCAACTGGACTTTCTTGTTTTTTTTCTTTTGAAGACGTTTCACTTCTCATCCAAGAAGCTTCTTCAGCTCTGACAGGATAATGAGGAATGGAAGGATTTATATTCCTTGCAGACAGCTGGTCATTTGCATCCTTTGAAAGAGTCGTTGAGGCCACTTGGAGGTTTCTCTGTGTCCTCAGAGTCACCTGAGTGGTGCAAATGGTTCCTGTAGTTGCAATTTTTCCATTCCTACTCCCACCCCATTCAAAGGGTCTTCATCCCAAATTGCATGGCTCAAAGTCCATAGAGATTCTCAGTCCTCCAGGCTGTGGTTGATTTAATTTATTTTAGCTATCTTAACTTTTATATTGTATGTATTTTAATTTCGGCTGTTCACCGCCCTGAGTCCCTAGGGGGAGAAGGGCGGTATATAAATTCAAATATAAATAAATAAAAATAAATAAATAAAGATGCTTTTTTCAAGAGGCAACTGGACTTTCTTGTTTTTTTTCTTTTGAAGACATTTCGCTTCTCATCCAAGAAGCTTCTTCAGCTCTGACAGGACTGTGGGCAATGGAAGGATTTATATTCCTTGCAGACAGCTGGTCATTTGCATCCTTTGAGAGGGTCCTTGAAGCACTTGGAGGTTTCTCTGTGTCCTCAGGGTCCCCTGAGTGGTGCAAATGGTTCCTGTAGTCTGCAATTTTCCCCTCTGGAAATCCATTCCTACTCCCACCCCATTCAAAGGCTGCTCATCTCAAATTGTATAGCTAAAAGTCTGTAGAGATTCTCCACCATCCAGGTCACGGTTGTCCCAAAGGTGCTTTTTTTCACGAGGCAACTGGACTTCCTTGTCAAAAGCTCTCTAAAAAGGATGCAAATGACCAGCTGTCTGCAAGGAACATAAATCTTTCCATTCCCCACCATCCAGTCAGAGCTGAAGAAGCTTCTTGGATGAGAAGAGAAACGTCTTCAAAGAAAATCCAGAAAGTCCAGTTGCCTCTTGGAAAAAAAGCACCTTTGGGATTCCGTATGGTTCATTGCTCTGCAGGTAATCCTCAACTTACGGCCACAGCTGAGCCCAGAATTTCTGTTGTTAAGTGAGACCTTTGTTAAGTGAGCTTGGCCCCATGTTATCTCCATTCGTGCCACAGTTCTTAAGGGAATCAATGAATTGTTGTCGAATGAATCTGGCTTCCCCATTCTGTCTTCGCCGCCTGGAAGGTCACAACAGAGGATCATGTGACCGCCAGACACTGCAACCGTCCTTAGTACATGCCAGTTGCCAAGCCTTTGAATTTTGATCACGTCAAATCACGGGGGATGCTGCAGAGGTCGTCACTGTGAAAAACCGTTTTCAGTGCCGTTGTAACTTTTGAATGGTCAGTAAATGAAGCGTTGTAAGTTGAGGACTACCTCTAAGGTCCCAACTGGGCCCTTATTTTGACTCTCTTTACCTTGGAGGAGGTTGCAGGCCTGCAAGGTTATAACATTTCCTGACAGTTGGAACCATTAATCCGCCTCCAAAAGTTGTGGGTGCGTCAACACTGGAAGTTTTTAAGAAGAGAGACTGGACAGCCATTTGTCTGAAATGGTAGACAACGTTCTCCTCCTCCAGCAGGGGGCTGGACTAGAAGACCTCCAAGGTCCCATCCAACCCCTTGATCTTCCCAGGCATTGGGGTCGGCTCATAAAATGGTTATATGGTTCCTCTGATTTTTTTTTCCCCTTTGTGTTAAGTCGGGCTGACTTTGTTCTCTTGGCAGTAGTTTTTTGTTTTTTCTTTTGTAAATTGGCAGCTATTAAATTTTGAAAACAAATCAGCTGAATTACTAGTATCTTTGTCAATATCCGTTCGTGATGCTAGTATTTGAGCTTCCCTGCGTGCCTGTTCAGCTCCTTCTAAATATTTATTCTCTCGGTGTGCTCTAAATACGATATTCTTAGATTAGTCTTAGACCTTGTCTTGGTAACCTTAAAATCCTCCACCAGACATTTAAAAAAAAAAAAATTCTGACTGGCTAGTCAGTAGTGGGGGGAAAAAAAAGCAGACAAGGATATTTATTTATAGGTTAAAATGAATAAGTTGTTTATTAAAAATATTTTTAGCGTTTTGAAAAGAAAACAACATATCCATCAGCGCCCATTCCTCCCCGTTTCTAACAGCAACTAGACAATCTGTGACTCGTTGGGTCATCTTTCCAGAGGTATTTCTTTACCTAACACTGTTTGTGTAGTTGAAACAGGCAGTTGCTGCAACAGCATTTTGGGGGTGGGTGGGTAATTCTTTGCTCTTTGCTAAGAAAAAAAGGAAGGGAGGGAGGGAGGAGGAAGGAGAAGGAGAGGGAGGGAGGGAGAAAAGAAGGAAGGAAAGAAGAGAGTGGAAGGAAGGAAGGGTGGGAAGAAGGAGAGGGAGGGAGAGAGGAAGGGAGGGAGGAAAGAAGAAGAGATTGGAAGGAAGGGAGGGTGGGAAGAAGAAGGAGGAGGAAAAAGGAAGGAAGGAAAGAAAAGAGGAAGGAGAGAGGGGAGAAGGAATGAAGAAGGGAGGGAGGAAGGAAGGAAGGAGGGAGGGAGGGAGGAAGAAAAGGGAGGAAGGGAGAGAGGGAGGAAGGAAGAAAAAGAGGGAGGGGAGAAGGAATGGCAGGGAGGGAGGGAGGGAAGGAGGAAGGAGGAAGGGAGAACAGACGGAGGGAGGGAGGAAGAAAAGGAGGGAGGATGGGAGGAAGGAAGGAGGGAGGGAGGGGAGAAGGAATGGCAGGAGGGAGGGAGGAAGGAAGGAGGAAGGGAGAGCAGACACGTAGGGAGGGAGGAAGAAAAGGAGGGAGGGTGGGAGGAAGGAAGGAAGGAAGAAGAAAGGTAGGTTGATATTGGGAAGGAAGGAAGGAAGGACTACTTGCATTAAGCATGAGACTTACACTTTGTAAAAGTTCTCCATGCTTACACTGAGGAACCGTATTTGCCCACTGGGCCTGAGTGCTTAATTCTGCTTGCTTTGAAAAAAACAACAGTTCCATAAATCCATATTTATGTTCGGGTTTTGCTTTTTTTTTTTTTTTTTTTTTTTAAAGTATGAAATTGGAGGTCGAGTTTCTTGATTTGCATGAGCCGGAAAAATAGTATTTTGAGTCCTGAGGGGTTTTTACATTTATTATTCTGGAATATACGGCACTGCGACCTACTTTAAATTCTGCTCAACTGCGAGTTTGTGATACGATTTGGGTATTACCTGTTCAAAGGACAAAGACAAATTAACTCCAGGAGGCGATACAAATTCATTAAGCGAGACCTATCAATTTTGAGATTACAGCCTCTGCTTCTGTTTGTTCAGAATTCCAGTGGTTTCAGTGCGGTATGATAACTTATTTATTTTTCTCAGATCCTTACCTTTATTTTTTTATTTTTAAGTCAGCAGAAATGCGGACTTAAGGCCCTTCCTTTTGCGGTCAGGAAGTCTATAAACAATATCCTGATAGCATTTAAGTGAGCCCACCAGATAATTAGCTGGGAGTGGTGCGGTGGCCTAGAGGTGGAGCTCTCGCCTCACAATCAGGAGGCTGTGAGTTCGATCCTAGGTAGAGGCAGATATTTCTCTCTCTGGGCACGATGAGAATATATCTGCCCAGCAAAACTCCCCATTGGTGACAGGAAGGGCATCTGGTCAGTAAAACACTCCGCTAGCTCCATTCAGTTCCCCAGACTCCACCCTGCAAGGAATTATGGGGTCCTTAAAAGATGATGTTGATGATGATAATTAGCTGAAATATGCGGTATAGATAGTCGTCGATATACGACCAAAACTGAGCCCAAAATTTACGATGTTCAGTGAGAAATTTATTAAGTGAGTCTTGTCCCATTTTACAACTTTTGTTAAGTGAATCGCTGCCATTGTTAAGTTAGTCACACGGTTTTTAAGCGAATCTGGCTTCCCCGTTGACTTGGCCGGTCAGAAATTTGCAAAAGAGGATCATGTGACTCAGGGACACTGCAACTGTCATAAGTACATGCCAGTTGCCAAGCATTCTGAATTTTAATCATGGGACTATGAGAATACCACAACGGTTGTAAGTGTGGAAAATCGCTCATAAGTCACTTTTTTTTCAGTGCCATTGTAACTTCTAATGGTCACTAAATGAATGGTGGTAAGTTGAGGACTACCTCACCTGGAAATTCACCTCAAGGACCTTCGAATTTTTGATGACTATATACAGTGCATTAGCTTTTATGTCCACTAAGTTGTAAATCGAATGTACCACACTCTTTGGTCTTTGAGAAACGAGTGGCCAATCAAGTCAGTTAATCAAGTAATGAAATAAAGTTATTTAACCATCAGCAGTGAATTAAATGGAAACAGTTATTAATAATCTGAACAAGGTCGGGAGTGCCTGAAAATAACTAATTGAGTTACAGGCTGGGGGTCAGGAACGATCACTTTCTTTGCCCTGATGTGGAACACAGGCAGACTGAAAAGATGTCCCGAGCTGCTTTTCCGAAAGGCAACTAGACTTCCTTTGTTTTTCCTTGAAGACATTTCGCTTCTCAGCCAAGAAGCTTTTTCGGTTCTGATAATTAGAACAGAATAACAAAGTTGGAAGGGACCTTGGAGGTCTTCTAGTCCAACCCTCTGGTTAGGCAGGAAACCCTACACCGCTTCAGACAAATGGTTATCCAATCTCTTCTTAAAAACGTCCAGTGTTGGAGCATTCACAACTTCTGGAGGCAAATCGTTCCACTGATTAATTGTTCTAACTGCCAGGAAATTTCTCCTTAGTTCTAGGTTGCTTCTCTCCTTGGTTAATTTCTATCGTTGTTTCTTGTCCTGCCTTCAGGTACTTTGGAGAATAGCTTGACTCCCTCTTCTTTGGGGCAGCCTCTCAAATATTGGAAGACTGCTATCATGTCTCCCCTAGTCCTTCTTTTCATTAGACTTCCTCTTCCTCTTCCTCTTCCTCTTCCTCTTCCTCTTCCTCTTCCTCTTCTTCTTCTTCTTCTTCTTCTTCTTCTTCTTCCTCTTCTTCCTCTTCCTCTTCCTCTTCTTCCTCCTCTTCCTCTTCCTCCTCCTCCTCCTCCTCCTCCCCCTCCCCCTCCTTTTCCTCCTCCTTCGTTCCCTGGAGGATTAAGTGAAGTATGCCACATTTTTCTGGGTGTCGCATCACATTTCATTATTTTCATTCACCTCTCCCTATTTCCCTGAATTTTAGTGGAAGCATCCTGTCATAATGGAGACGAGACCATGCAAACCATTGAAGCGGCTGAGGCTCTCCTCAACATGGATTCCCCGGGCCCGATGTTGGACGAGAAAAGATCAGGTGAGTCTCAAGAACAGAGGTCCTCAAACTACGGCTCATGAGCCGAATATGGCCCACCGAAGCCGTTAATCCTGCCCACGTGGGACCACGAGGCTGCCCTGCCCACATCACTCCACCTACCTGCTAGACCCCCTACCTTCTGGAGGCCAAAAACGGGATGCATGGAGGCCCCAGGAGGGCAAAAACGGCCCCGTTTTTGGCCTCCCCAGCTTCCAGAAAGAGAGGGAGGGAGAGAGGGACACACACACACACACACACACACACACACACACACACACACAGAAGTCCCTCAGGCCCCCCCCTCCCCAAGGCAGCCACATCCCTTCACTGACTTGCTTTCCACCCCCAGGAGCATAACAAATTAAAGTTTAATTTGTGTGTATTGTTTAATGGACTGCTAAATTGGCCACGCCCACCCAGCCACATGACCACCTAGCACCGTACACCCAGTCACATGACCACCTAGCCACACCCACCTAGCTGATCCGCACCCCCCCCCTGCCAATAGTCTGAGGGACCGTGAATTGGCCCCCTGTTTCAAAAGTTTGAGGACCCCCCTGCTCAAGAGGGATAGCACCTCAGCCAGGACAGAAAAATTAAAAAATAAGAAATTGTACATGGTTTTGCAAAACTCTATTGAAAAAAGACATTGCAAAAAAAAAAAGAAGAAGAAGAAGAAGCGTTACTTTTTAAGCAGGTTGTCTGAATCGGTTTTGAATGGCCTTTTAGTAAAAGCTGGGGAAGAATTTTTTTTTTAAAATTTGATTTATATGCCGCCCTTCACCAGAGACTCAGGGCGGCTTACAATGCATTAAGCAATAGCCTTCATACTTTTGTATATTTATACAAAGTCAGCTTATTGCCCCCACAAACTGGGTCCTCATTTAACCTACCTTAGAAAGGATGGAAGGCTGAGTCAACCTTGAGCCTGGTGAGATTTGAACTTGCAGTAATTGCAGACAGCTGGTGTTAATCACAATGCTTTTAGTCTGCTGAGCTACGAGGCCCGGTTTAAAATTCATTTCTTGGTAAATTTTTCAGTTTTCTAAGCATATCCTTTTCCATGGTGGTAGTCTGGGGAAGAAAAAGCAAGATTAAGGTCTTAATCTGGTTGTGTGTGTGTTTTTTAAAAAAATTATATTAATTAAATTTCTTAAGCTTGAATTCCCATTTAAATTAATGAAATGTGAAAATGTTTATAGTGTTGACTGGAGCGTGTTCAAATATTTAACATAAAAGTCATAAAACGCTCTTTTTTTCCACCCCTTTCCCTTGCATTCACAGTGCAATTACATATCCAAATTATTACTGATTCATTTATCTTTATTTTGTTCCGATTCGCGCATATTCACACGCATCAGTCACTTCAATAATGATATATTGGGGGAATGATTAGACTTTGAGTTCATCCCTTTGTTCTATTCCTACGCCAGCCGGAGTATCTCGTGGAAATAAAATTGTATTTATTTCCTCTTTTTTTTACGGCGAAGCAGCAAAGAATCAAAAATAACTTAACCGAAAGTGACTTTTAAAACGACAACTTAGAAAAATCAGAATTGCGTGTAGGACTACAATTGGGGAGATTTAAATTCCATTTCCCTCTTAGCCATGTAGTTCCCTTAGGAATTTTGTCCCGTCGTGATCTCTTAGACTATCCACCAGTGATGAAATCCAAATTTTTTTACTACCGGTTCTGTGGGCGTGGCTTGGTGGGCATGGTGTGGCTTGGTGGCCGTGGCAGGGGAAGGATACTGCAAAATCCCCATTCCCACCCCACTCCTGGGGGAAGGATATTGCAAAATCCCCATTCCCTCCCCACTCCAAGGGAAGGATATTGCAAAATCTCCATTCCCTCCCCACTCCAAGGGAAGGATACTGCAAAATCTCCATTCTCTCCCCACTCTGGGGCCAGCCAGAGGTGGTATTTGCCGGTTCTCCGAACTGCTCAAAATTTCCGCTACCGGTTCTCCAGAACCTGTCAGAACCTGCTGAATAGCACCCCTGCTATCCACCCTCAGAAAATTATTATTTCGTGGGATAAAAGGATCCTTTGATCGCCCAAAGGAAAGATGAGATATACATGACATAAATAAATAAACGTAATACAGGAAGTCCTCGACTTACAACAGTTCAATGTCGCCACGGCACTGAAAAAGGTGTCTTACGACCGTTTTCCACCCTTACGACCTTGGTAGCAGCCCCGTGATCAAAATTCAGATGCTTGGCAACTGGTTCATACTTACGACTGTTGCTGTGTCCTGGGGTCACGTGATTCCCCCTTTGCGACCTTTGGATGAGCAAAATCCACGGGGAAGCCAGATTCAATTAACAATCATGTTCCTCACTTACCAACGGCAGTGATTCTGGCAGGAAAGGTCGTAAAATGGGGCGAAACTCACTTAATCTCCTTCTCAATTAACAACCTAAATTTCGGGCTCCGTTGTGGCCTTAAGTCGAGGGCTACCTTTATTTATTTTGACTTTTTTATGTCAGTCAGATAAAAGACTTCACCTCTGAAAAGTCCCACCGCTTGATTGTTACAACGTCTAGTAGAATCTTTACAAAGGTTTAGTTACTCTCCTGTCGTTTTTCCAAAGCCCACGTATTTGAAGCCGAGGATGAAGTCGAAGCTGCTCCTATCACTCACGTGTCGGTCACTTTGGATGGCATCCCGGAAGTAGTAGAAGTTCATCAAATCCAGGAGGCATTTTCTGAATCGCCAAGTACACCCGAACAACCAAAGAAGAGAAGAGGTAACGAAGGAAGTAGAAAGGGGGTACTAAAGAAATGCCTTAAAGTTATTGTACTTTTACACGCAAGTGTTAAGGACAACTAGGAGTCCCGGTGGTGCAGTGGTTAGAAGGCAGGATTGCAGGCTGACTGCCCACTGCCAGGAAGTTCGATCCTGAATGGCTCAAGGTTGACTCAGTCTTCCATCCTTCCGATGTCAGTCAAATGAGGACTCAGATTGTTGGGGGTAAGATGCTGACTCTGTAAACTGCTTAGAGAGGGCTGTTCAACATTGGGATGGTATACTGTATAAGCCTAAGTACTATTCCTATAGCTCTTCCTTTTCTCCTTCCTTCCTTCCTTCCTTCCTTCCTTCCTTCCTTCCTTCCTTCCTAGATTTTGGCCAGGGTTTTGCTCTCCAAGCTTGTTTCAATTTAGTTTCTGAACATTTCGTTACCACGCTAGGTAACGTCATCAGCCGGATTGTCTTGTCTTGTCCTATTCTCCTTAGCTTAGACACAAGACATTTATAAACTCAGGAGAATAGGACAAGACAGCCCCACTGATGCCGTTACCTACTCTGGTAACGAAACGTTCAGAAACTAAATTGAAACAAGCATGGAGAGTTCCCCATAAACGTTTGTGCCGATGTGAAAATTGTGTCCTTAAGTGAGCCTACCACGTGTTAAATTCCTGTTCTGACCCAGCTCCCCAAACACGACAAACCCTCTGAAGTGCCTACAGGAGCGTCTACAGCCCCAGCAAAAAGTTTCTCTCTCACCGCAGGCTATCAAATCCGTCTGGCAGGGAGATGAATAGTTGTCTGCCACATCTATTCATCTCCTCCCCCTTCCTTTTATCTCCAGAGATAGGGTGGGGCTCTTCCTTCCAAGGACCAGCCCATAGATTTCCACTGCTCTCCTCTCCTCTGCCTTCTGCGCATCTACGTGTCAGGCACTGGACCCAGCTGTTCCTCCTCTTCCTCATCAGCCACCTCCAGACCTGGGGGCTGTTGACTCTCCATCTGAGGGCTGACGGATGGCCCAGGCTCTGCCTCTGCCTCTCTCTCTCTCTGCTAACAAGTCCAGCCAGCCGGAAGATGAATAGTTGTCTGTCACATCTATTCATCTGCCCCCTGCCTTTTATCCCAGAGTTAGGGAGGGGCTTCGCTAGCAGCGGTGGCTTTTCTGTCCCAAGGACCGGCTAATAGGTTTCCACTGCTCTCCTCTCCTCTGCCTTCTGTGCATCAGGCACTGGACCCAGCTGTTCCTCCTCTTCCTCATCAGCCACCTCCAGACCTGGGAGCTGTTGACTCTCTATCTGAGGGTTGACGGATGGCCCAGGCTCTGCCTCTGCCTCTCTCTCTCTCTCTGCCAGCTCCGTGCCCTCTTCCCCCTCGGAGCTCCCAGGTTGCCTCAATGCTGACCTTGACTCCAAGGCTCTTCCTCCTCTGATTCAGCTGCTGGAGGGGCCAGCAGCCAACAGGCCACAACAGTTGCATCACACCAAACTATTTATTTAAGGTGATCGTTCCTGATAGAAGAAAGACCAGGAAGATCCTAAAAAGTTAATATGAACATTAGCGACGATTAGCATTTTTACTCTTGATTTTTTTTAAAAGAATTTTTTTTTTCTTTTTTTTAAAAAAAATAACTGTTTTGCTGTAAAATTGTAAACTTGAAATGCCAAAACGGGGCTTAAACGCTCCTTGCAATTTGACGTACTATACACGTGGTAGAAAGAAGGACTTGACTGGTTAATGTCTTTTTTTTGTTGTTTTGTTTTGTTTTTCCTAGTTCCCCTTTAGGAAATTTTTCTGTAACTGCTGCTTTCTTTGCAGGGAAGAAGCCCAAAGTCCCTCGGCCGGAATCGCCCAGCCTGACTCCCAATATATCTGTGAAGAAGAAAAACAAAGACGGGAAGGGTAAGCCCAGAGACGGCGGGCGGGGAGTTTCGGAAGACAGAACAACGGAGTGTTTGGGGTTAAATTCTGAGTGGAGCAGGAGTCAAGGCCTCCCAGGGAGATAAACGGCCTGTCTTGATTGATTGATTGATTGATTGATTGATTGATTATTCCAATGAGGAGGAGCTGGGAATAAATCCAGGAGCTTTCTAGCCTTTGATAGGAAGTGAAGCAGAGGGATCACAACGAATGAACGGGGAGATTATTCCTGTTTAATTTCTTAGCCACTGCTGCCCTCCTCCTCCTCTTCCTCCCTTCTTCCTCCTCCTCCTTTTCTCTTTCTCTTTTTCCTTCTCTTTCTGCTTCTTTTTCTCCTCCTCCTCTTCTTTCTCCTCCTCTTTCTGCTTCTTCTTTTTCTCCCCCTCCTCCTGTTTCTCTTCTTCTTTTTCTCCTTCTCCTCCTCCTTTTCTTTCTCCTCCCCCTCCTCCTCCATTTCTCTTTCTCCTTCTTTTTCTCCTCCTCCTCCTCCTTTTCTTTCTCCTCCTCCTCCTCCTTTTCTCTTTCTCTTTCTCTTTTTTCTTCGCTTTATGCTTCTTTTTTCCTCCTCCTCCTCCTCTTCTTTCTCCTTCTCTTTCTGCTCCTTTTTCTTCTCCTCCTCTTCTTTCTCCTTCTCTTTCTGCTTCTTCTTTTTCTCCCTTCCCCTCCTCTTTTTCTTTCTCCTCCTCTTTCTGCTTCTTTCTCCTTTTTCTCCTTCTCTTTTCTTTCTCCTTTGTCCTTTTTTTCTCCTCCTCCTCCTCCTTTTTTCTTTCTCTGTCTCCTTCTCTGTCTCCTTCTCTTTCTGCTTCTTTTCCTTATTTTTCTCCTCCTCCTCTTCTCTTTCTCCTCCTCCTCCCCCCCTTCCCCTCCCCCTTCTTCTGCCCCTTCCCTTGTCCTTCATCGAAGGAACCCGGCCTTCCAACTCTACCGGTTGGCCAGGCAGATCCCATGGGAGACCGATGACACTCAAGTAACCAGGCCCTAAGCTGTGGGAGGCTTTAATAGGTGACTACTGGCACCCTGAATCACATCTGGGACTAAACTGGCAACCAGGGCAACTCCTAAAACAGAGGTATAACTTGGGTGTACCGAGGCATGCCCATCACTGTTTGTGCCACTGCATTATCGGGTGGAGATTAGGTGGCGAGACTGTATGGCATCCAGAGCCTGCAAAGATCACAACTCTTTCTTTGCCCCTCCTCCCCATCAATTCCCTAAGGCCGTGATGGCAAACCGATGGCACGTGTGCCACAGGTGGCAAGCGGAGCCATATCGGTGGGCACGCGAGCTCTGGAGGCCCTCCAGAGGCCAGAAACAGCCCATTTTCCAACTTCCGGTGGGACCGAAGGCCCGTTTTTCACCCTCCCCAGGCTCCAGAGGCTTTTTAGGAGCCTGGGGAGGGCGAAAACGGCCTTCCCCACCCCTATGGAAGCCCTCTGAAGGCTGGAAACGGCCCATTTGCTGATTTCCGGTCCCTCTGGAGGGCCTCCAGGGAGTGGGGAAGGCTGTTTTCGTCCTCCTCAGGCTCCTAGAAAGTCTCTGGAGCCTGGGGAGGGCAAAAAAATGGGCCTACTGAGCCCACCGTGCCATCGCATGCCAAAAGCGGGGGAGTGCGGGGAGGGTCTTGTGTGCATGTCTGGGGCGCATAGAATTATGGGTGTGGGCAGGCATGCGTGCGACACCCTCCCCCCGTCTCCCCCCGAGGTTCGCCCTCAGTGTCATAAGGACACAACTTTACTCAAAAGAGTTTTGATTTTTGGCTGTCTTTGTTTCAGGAAACACCATTTACCTCTGGGAATTCCTCCTGGCGCTGCTTCAGGACAAAGCCACCTGCCCCAAATACATCAAGTGGACTCAGAGAGAAAAGGGCATTTTTAAGCTAGTCGACTCCAAGGCCGTGTCCAGGTTGTGGGGGAAGCACAAAAATAAACCGGATATGAACTACGAGACCATGGGCAGAGCACTCAGGTAGGGGGATTCCGGGTAAACGCCACCTTCCCTTCGATGCTAAACACTATGGAAACCTTTTAACCTTTAAGCCATTGAGGTGCAAAGCCTTTGTAGCTCTTTGTCTCAACTGTGCATAAGAAGTACTGCGGCAAATGCAAATGAAATTGTAGAACAGATTGAAAAGGTAAATGTTTATCCAGTACTGGAGGTCCCTGTTATGACCACAACTGGACATAAAACTTCTGTGGATAAGTGAGACAGTTGTTAGTGAGTTTTAACATAATAGAGAAGTTACTGTTCTCCTCATCTTCCTATTTCTTCTCCTTCTACTTTTCCTTCTTCTCCTTCTTCTCCTTTCACTTCTTCTGTTTCTCCCACTTCTCCTTCTTCTGCTTCTTCTTCCACTTCTTCTTTTTCTCCTTCTTCTCTTTCTTTCACTTCTTCTGCTTCTCCCACTTCTCCTCCTCTTTCTTCTTCTCCTTCTTCCACTTTTTCTCCTTCTCTTTCTTCCATGTCTCCTTCTTCTTCTTTCCTTCTTCTCCTTTCACTTCTGTTTCTCCTTCTCCTCCTCCTTCTCCTTCTTTCTGTTTCTTCTCCTTCTCCAACTTTTTCTCCTCCTTTTCTTTTTGCTTCTTCTCCTTCTTCCACTTCTTCTCCTTTTCTTTCTCCTTTTTCTCCTCCTCTTCCTTCTCTTCTCCTTCCTTTTCCTTCTCTTCCCCCTCCTCCTTCCAGCCTCCTTCCATCTTCCTTCCTTACTTCCTTCCTTCCTTCCTCCATCCATCCATCCATCCATCCATCCATCCATCCATCCATCTCTTCCTCTTCCATAGAAGCTTCGACTGGAGAAAAGGACCTTTCTCTAGTTGAAGGAAGACACTTAATGCCACCCCACGTCACTGACTCTGCCAAGATATTTCAGAAGGTGCAGACAAACCTGCTCAAAACGTTTCCACCGATCAATAGACGCTTGGGAATTAACTGCATGTTCTGTAAATGCCCTAAAAGAAAACCTTTAGCAGAGTAACTCTTTTTTCCCCCCTTTTAATTTACCTTTGAAGTGGATTTCCTTTGCTTAAACCCTCGGTGTGGTTTTTTCCTTGTTCGAACAGGTACTATTACCAAAGAGGCATTTTAGCCAAAGTAGAGGGCCAACGTTTGGTCTACCAGTTCAAGGAGATGCCAAAAGACATCATCTATATCGACGACGTAGATCCCAACTCCAGCCTAGACTCTCCGGATTCCTCTTTACTCTCCACCCCCGGGGCCAACAGAAGCCAAGCGGCCAAAGCCAAGGCCTCTTCCAACCCAGGCGCCAAAGGATCTGCCCCCCTTTTAAAATTGCCCTTCAACGCCAAGTCCGCCAAACTGAAGCAGGAGACTGTACCCCAGCCCCTGCCTTCTTTGACCCCCGAAGTGTTGACGACGATGCAGTCGAGCCATTCACCCCATGCCACTCAGCTTTATCGGACAGTCCACTTAATGCCCTCGGTGCAATCCATCCAGGAAGGGCACACGGCCGTAACCAGTAACTTGCTGGACGAATCCCTGAATTCTTCGGTTCCAAATATCAGGTAAGGGAAAATCGAAGTGGATCTTAAGAAAAATTGGGGAGATCTTTCCTGTGGTTTTCCCCGCATCCTACGTACAGTAGTGGCCAAAATTGTGGAAACCTTTTTGGGAAAAATGTATTTTCTAAAACTGGCTAATAACACCAGGTTTTTTTTGGAGTAGTACCATAAAATTATATATCAGTGGAAAGATGATTTAATCAAGAATGTAATGCAATCAGTTTTATGAAGGATTCGCTATTAGAATAGCAGTTACAGTATAAAGAAGAAAAGTGAAACACGTGGAAAAAACAAGATATACAAAAATGATCACCCTGTCAGTTAATACTTAGTTGAGTAACCTTTAGCATGAATTTAGCCTTACAATGTCTTCCCATGGAGTGAACCAAGTCTTTGAGTTCTGCAGCTGTTATAAAGTGAAACCAAAATGGAATGATGGCTTCTATTAACTGGGTTTTATTGCTGGGTCGCATCTGATTAACCAGTTTCTTTAGTCGGAAAATCCATAGATTTTCAATTGGGTGAAGGTCTGGGCTATTCCCAGGCCATTCATTCCAGCAGTGGAATAGGATGATCTTGAAACTCCCAAAAAAAAAAAAAAAAAGTGGTGTCATTAGCCATCAAACCTCAAAAATACACTTTTCCCAAAAGATTTCCACAATTTTGGCCACTACTGTATTCTTTTTCTTCGCCTGAAAAGCCTTTGAGGGTTACAAACGGGAGAGACGTATGCGAAAGGGATCTTCTTGCTACATTTTTGGGTCTCTCTCTGTGAAAAACATAAAGGTGCTTGGGTTCTTTTAGTGTTTTTTTTTAAGTTTACAAGTTATCTATGGAGATTCCTCGGTTATGTAGGTCAATGGCCCCCAACCTTTTGGGCACCAGGGACCGGTTCCGTGGAGAGACTTTTTTTCGTGGACTGGCGTGGGCGTGATTTTGCGTGCTGCCTGCATCCCGCAGATGGGGTTTCACTTGTTTGCATGGCCTGGTTTCTGGCATGCCATGGACTGGTGCCGGTTCATGGATCAGCCTTTGGGGACCTCTGATCTGGTTGTCCCAAAAGGTACTTTTTAAAAAGGCAACTGGACAGGGTGGATAAAACATCCAGACACAAACTGTGTAATGTGATAAATGCAATACAATGCAGTGAGACATGGGCAGATCTGTACATTGGGGAAACAAAACAGCCGCTTCCCAGACGCATGGCACAACATAGGAGAACAAACCCATCAGGACTTGATTCAGCGGTCCATCTGCATTTGAAAGACATTCCTGTGTTCAAAAGACAGAGAGGACCTCTGGTTTGAAAGGGGAGGGGGTCAAAAGAGGCCATCTACATTAAAATTGAACAGCCCTCTCTCAATAGCAATAGCACTTAGACTTATATACACCGCTTCATAGTGCTTTTACAGCCCTCTCTAAGCGGTTTACAAAGTCAGCCTCTTGCCCCCAACAATCTGGGTCCTCATTTTACCGACCTCTGGAAGGCTGGAAGGCTGGAGTCAACCTTGAGCTTGGTGTGATTTGAACTGCTGAATAGAGGGGGAGGGATATGGCATCATCTATCTCCAGTCTACAACACAGTCCTTTCAGCAGTCCCAGGAAGGTTCCACACCCATTTGTACTATTCAGGTGACCTTGAGGGCACAGATAAGACCTCCAAGTGGCCTCAACGACTCTCTAAAAGGATGCAAATGACCAGCTGTCTGCAAGGAGTATAAATCCTTTCGTTCCCCCACCATCCAGCCATAATTGAAGAGGCTTCTCAGAGGAGAAGCGAAACGTCTTCAAAGAAGAAACAAAGAAAGTCCAGTTGCTTTTTTGAAAAAAAGCACCTTTGGGCCAAGTGTGCAAGATATGAGCCGAGGTGGCGCAGTGGTTAGAGTGCAGCACTGCAGGCTACTTCGACTGACTGCTAGCTGCAGTTCGACAGTTCAAATCTCATTGGCTCCAGGTTGACTCAGCCTTCCATCCTTCCGAGGTGGGTAAAATGAGGACCCAGATTGTTGGGGGCGAGAGGCTGACTCTCTAAACCGCTTAGGGAGGGCTGTAAAAGCACTATGAAGCGGTATATAAGTCTAAGTGCTATTGCTATTGCTGTGACGCAGGAATATAAATTTATATGTGGCACAGAGCAGGGAATAAAATAATTGCGTAGCTGAATTCAACAGGAAATGAAGCCAGAGATTTTTCTATCACTCATTTTTCTGTTTCTCTCCCCCCACGTTTTTAATTGTGTTTACTCTTAAGAATACAGCTTGCATTAAATAGAAGACCACTGTTGCAAAAATCAAACTTGTCTGTTGGGAGAGATATCTAGTTTGGTCTAATTTTGGCAGAACGGGATTTACAGAAACACGCCTGCTCTTTTCCCAGCTAAGCTTGATCTGTAGTTATCAAGCTAATTAAGAATAAAGAGCAGGAGAGCTGAAAAACAAATGTTTAATTTGAGGTTATTCACAGAGTCGGCCATGCATGGTTGATTCCCATTTTCCAGCGATTCCAAATTATTCCAGTGATCTAATCCAAATATTTATTTTTTTGCATTTAAATTTAGCATTATTTCTCATGCTCTTTTTAGGGCAAAGGCATAAACTTCACTCCTGCTTCTAATTTTATGCAGTCTGCAATGACGGATGAGGCAATGATGAAAAGATTCTATGTCATCTCTTTAGTGATGTATACCATTTTGGCTCCAGTTCCAGCTGGGGCCATCCTGCCTTACTTTAAAATATTTTAAAATATTCTGTATTCAGTAAAAAAAAACCCGAAAAAGTTGGCCAGATCCAATTTAGGGAATAATTTAAAAAGTTGAGGTTTTAAGAGGAAAGAAAGATATTTTCCAAAATCCATTGCGAAAAAAATTTAGGATGCGGCTGGAACTCTATAGAAAGGTTGAGTTTGTTTGGCCATTCTAGCAGAGAAATGCAGCTGCCATGTCCCTTGACTGAAAATTGGTACACATTTTTAATTTTTTTAAAAAATTAGTTCACAATATAAAACACAAAAGCAAATAATAGGAAAAATAGAGGAGGGAAAAGGGTAGAGAAAGGTGTAGAGAAGAAGGGGAAAAAGAAAGAAAAAGCATTGGCTTCCAACTCATTTTGGTGCAGTATCTCCCGGCACTGACTTTACAACAGACATATGAACTTTAACAGGACTCAATTTGTACCAAGGCCCCAATCTGAATAAGCCTTGATTCTGTTTCATGGTTCCAGAGAGGTTGTGTTTCTATTTTGGCCAGGTCCGGAGCTTGGATCATTGAAAGCAGTCTCTATGGCTGCAGAATGGAGATTGTTGTCAGTGCCTCCGTTTCATTGAAGATGTACTTTTCCTGGGGGCGGCCTTGATCTCCATTGATCTAGAAGTGTTTCATGACTCTCCAAAGTAGAAAGGCTAGAACAAATGGAAGGAAGGAAGGAAGGAAGGAAGGAAGGAAGGAAGGAAGGAAGGAAGGAAGGAAGGAAGGAGAAGGAAGGGAGCGAAGGAGGGAGGGAGGGAGGAAGGGTGAAGGATAGAGAAGGAAGGGAGCGAGGGAGGGAGGAAGAAAGGAAGGGGCAAGGAAAGAGAAGGAAGGGAGCGAAGAAAGGGAGGGGCAAGGAAAGAGGGAGGGAGGGAGGGAGGAAGAAAGGGAGGGGCAAGGAAAGAGAAGGAAGGGAGCGAGGGAGGGAGGAAGGAAGAAAGGAAGAGGCAAGGAAAGAGAAGGAAGGGAGCGAGGGAGGCAGGAGGAAGGAAGGAAGGAAATTAGAGAAATCAAGAAGATGGTCCCACGTCATAGTTAATGCATGCCTTAACTGTTAATATTACAATACATTTTGTGTTGGATAATAATCAACGGCAGTCTCATACCGTCAGTCCTGCCCCAACTTGGTCTCTTTAGTAAGAACGACCCTCAACTCCCTTCGGTGTGAAAGGCTTACTTTCTTAAAAGCCAAGTGGATTACAATATAGCAAAGACAGAACTGAGATTCGCGTGCCAAAACTTTCCCCAATTAACTTTTCCCTCTTTGTCCCTTCCCATTGCTGGTCTCCCCCATTGTCCCATGCTATTCAAAGAAAATGTTTTGGGAACAGTCTCTTCGATTGTGGACTGGGCGGTGCGGAGCTGCATGACATTCCCAGATGGGTGACCTTGAAGTTGAACGAGAGGTTAGCTTTCCCCCATCCCACCCTGCCCTCCTCCTAGACCGACCGCCAGCGAATGCGAAGAGCAGGCGTAAAATGGCAGTTCTGACTTACATTATTTGTCTTACTTCAATAGGACCATCCAAGCCTCAGGCCAGGTTCCCGTCGTGGTCTCTCCCGGAAACCAGCAACTGCACACCGTAACACTCCAGACAGTGCCTTTAACCACTGTGATAGCCAGCGCGGATCCGACTTCTTCGGCCACACCCCAGAAGTTTATCCTACAAGCCATCCCATCGTCGCAGCCCGTGACTGTCCTCAAGGAGAACATGGTGCTGCAGTCCTCCAAGCCGGTCTCTCCTCCGTCGTCCATCGTTTTCAGCCCTGCTCAGGTCCACCAAGTCCTCACCAGCAACGTCCAGACAATTTGCAACGGGACGGTCAACGTGGCCTCCTCCCCGTCTTTCAGCACCGCCGCCTCCGTAGTAACTTTTACGCCCAGCAGTTCCCACGGGGCCGCCGGTCAGGCCTCCAATGCCGTCATCACTTCGGTGATCAAGGCGCCGGAAGCCAAAACCGCCATTGTGCAAGGGACGGTGAAATCGGAATCCGAAAATTCACTCGGGGGGGATGACGACCAACTCTTGGAGACCAGTTTCCACCAGCAGCCGTTTGTCGTCATGGTCTCCTCTTCCAACGGGTTCCCTCCCACGGTACACATCAAGGAGGAAAGCGAACAGTTCCAGCCGCCCAGCCCTTACGAGTAACCAAGAAGAAAATTAAACGTTACCGTTGCTCTTTTCCTGAATGTGATGAGGACGCCTCCACCAATTGTGTATGTAACTTTTGATTCCAAAGCAAGCCAGGCATTATAAAGCTACTTTTTTTCTGTTTGTTTGTTTGTTTGTTTTTTAAATTCTCAAATTATATTTTAGAAGTAACGCTGTAGAGTTGATTTCCAGCTTTGTGGTTACCTCCGCCGTATAAAATATTATGTTTCGGGAAAAAAAAAGGCAAGCATGAAGGAACATGCAGTTAATCTTTTCTCTCTCTCTCTCTCTCTTTTTGATCACTGTCCAAAAATTCTAAATTTCTTAGACTCCCTGTATTATTTGTCTTATCTTGCATAATAATGTAATCAGTGCTTTCAAGCAATAGCTAATTTCAGGAGGGTGTTTCTTTTTTTATGCCATTATCTGACTTTTTTTTTAGTAAATTCCAAAGATCTTTTTACTCAATGTACTTAGAATATATTTTGTTTTATATGGATCTATAAAGCAATGGGCGATCGGGTCTTCGTTCGTTCAGTTGCCTTTTGCCCCAGTGAGAAATCATTTTGCAAATAGAAGCATTTCCCTTCTATCTATTGACAAGAGATTTACCACCACTTATGCATTCTATTTCCTATATATTTTCTATTCTAAGATGGACAATATCTTCGATAAAGCGGCTCGCCAAACCGGGAGCTGTGACTACAGGTGCAATTATTTTTCAGACCACTTAAAACCTTTTGAGGCATAAAAAAATGCGCTGATTGTTTTTTTTTTTTTTTTGCAATTATTTTTATAAGGAAATGGAAAAAAAAATAGAAGTATATGGGACTTAACCCAAGTATTTTGAGATTAAAATATTTCTACAAAGTACCTTTTCTATTGTAAATATGTAATTTAATTTCTCAAAAAGATTTTTTTTCATAAAAAAAAGATATTTCCATAGAACAATATTTTATAGATACAGATAAGATTATTATGTTTAGAGCTCTAAAGTTATACGTATTCATGTATTGCAGAGTGAATTTGTATTTAAAAGGAAAAAAAAATTAAATTGTGGGACCTCTTGAAGCTGTTTCCTCTTTTTTGTATTTTAATTGGTTTATCATGAAAATAAATCAAGTACAACATCCTGGTATGTTTGTCTTTCTCAGTCTGAAATCTGATATTCATAAGGTAGGCATTCATAAGTTAGACCCGTAATGAAATACCCTGTTGCAAGAAGGAATCAGATTTAAGATACAGAAGTCTTTATTATTTTGGCCAGAAAAAAAAGGCCTTTAAATCAGTGGTGAAATCCAATTTTTTTTTTACTATTGGTTCTCTGGCTGTGGCATGGTAGGTGTGGCAGGGGAAGGATACTGCAAAATCTCCGTTCGCACCCCACTCTGGTGCCAGCCAGAGGTGGTATTTGACGGTTCTCCGAACTACTCAAAATTTCCGCTGCTGGTTCTCCGAACTACTCAAAATTTCCGTTACCGGTTCTCCAGAACCTGTCAGAACCTGCTGGATTTCACCCCTGCTTTAAGCTTTGTCCTTGTTGTTTAAAATCAAGCCGAGTTAAGAATCAAGAGTGAGAAATTAAACATAAGGAACATAAAAAGCCGTGGGAGCTGGCAGTAATGGTTTGGTAAATAAATTAATTATTGGCTGCGTTCATCTCTGATCTACTTTGCATATATTAAAAGGACCTGGCATCATGTTTAACACCTAATAGGATCAGAAAGGGCCCAACTATTTCATAACTCTGAGGAGTTAAAATATCTTGCAGAACATACAGAGCAGCTATCTGTACATCAGCCGTCCTATTTCAATAAGTGCAGCTTACAAGTCCAGTGTCCAGAATGTATGAACCTACTACTTCCACCATAAATGAAATTAAATATTTTTTTGGTGGGGTTGCAAACATATTTGTTTTGCTCCTGGCCCTCTTCTCATTCTTTCTCTTACCTGGAAGAAATGTGTACATTGATGCAACAATACAGAATTCAGCTACACACAATATCTTTTTTTTAACCTTAACATCGTTATTCCACACAACTTGAATATTTACATTGGACCTATTTCTAAAAAGAACAGGTTTAATGTCTGGAGCACCTTCTATTGGATAAAAAATTGAATATCCTATGCCCCATGGATTATATAAAAATTCCATATACCTTCTTTTTCAGTTTGTGCATATATATTTATGCACGCTTTGATAATTCAGTTTTGGGTGTTTCTATTTTTTTTTTTTTAATTTGTGTAAATTCTCTCCATTGTAAAAGTGTGAAAAATCTCGCCTGTATTGAGAAGCCCACGAAGGATGGCAATTTAAGAAGAAGTGGGGAATCTTCCCTTAATAAATAATTCTTAAACTTCCTTCAGCTTATGGAATTTATTTACTTGAAAGCAAATCAGTAAGTTCACTAAATATAATTTAGCATAACAGGCGCACCCACCTTTTTTCTTTTTCAGTTGAAAAGGGGACTTTGCAAAAGAAAGGAAACGCAGAGTGCTGCATTTTATTGAAATATTTTAAAAAATCTGAATCTGGCTTGTTTCTTGAATGTTTAGTTGTCCAATAAATTCTCTGCACAAAGTGGGGTTATAATTGTCTAAAATGATGACATTTGTGCACCTGATTGAGTATCCCTCATTGCACAAATTCAGAGATCCCAGTGTAAATTTTAGTTCTTCAGTTTTTTTACGGAGGATCCCGGATCGCACCTTCTGTCACACGCTTAAGACTTTTTTATTTCATCAAGCTGGCCTGGCCTAAATCTTCTCCCTTTTTAAATGTAAATTTTAATTTGTTTCTAAATTATGGGGTATTTTAAATTTGTCTCAGCCAAATTATTTAATTCGTTTTTATTCTATTTTAAACTTTTGTATTTATGTGTTTTATATTGTGGCTGTTCACCGCCCTGAGTCCTTCGGGAGTAGGGTGGTATAGAAATTTAATAAAATAAATAAATTATGACTTGGTGAGACCACATTTGGAATAATGCATCCAGTTTTGGTCACCACAATATTAAAAAAAAGATGTTGAGACTCTGGAAAGAGTGCAGAAAAGAGCAACAAAGATGATTTGGGGACTGGAGGTTAAAACATGAACAGTTGCAGGAATTGGATATGTCTAGTGTTTAGTGAAAAGAACTAGGGTTGACATGACAGCAGTCTTCCAATGTTTGAGGGGCTGCCACAGAGAAGAGGGGGCCAACCTATTTTCCAAAGCACCAGAAGGCAGGAAAAGAAACAACGGATGGAAACTGACCAAAGGGAGAAGCAACCTAAAAATAAGGAGAAACTTCCTGACAGTGAGGACAATTAACCAGTGGAACAGATTGCCTTCAGAAGTTGTGAATGCTCCAACACTGGAAGTTTTCAAGAAGAGATTGGACGGCCATTTGTCTGAAATGGCATAGGGAATCTTGCTTGAGCAGGGGGTTAGACTAGAAGACCTCCAAGGTCCCTTCCAACTTCTGTTATTCTGTTTTGTTCTGTACAATCGCACCTTTGCATAAATGCACCTGAAGGGAGCACAAGAAGCCATGGATGGAAATGTCTATGGAGATTCTCAGTCCTCCAGGTCATGGCTGTCCCAAAGGTGCTTTTTCAAGAGGCAACTGGATTTTCTGGTTTTCTTTGAAGATATTTCACTTCTTCAGCTCAGAGAAAGTCTTTATAACTGCCCAAGGTTGACAACCAGTTGATGGCATATATTCCATCAAGCCACCAATTGGTCGACCAATCACATTCTATTTATTGCATCCTCCTGGAGAAAGCCTATCTATGGTTAGCTTAAGTCTTGATACTGACTTAATGGCATATATTTAATCAATCAATCCCACTAGTTTCATTTTATCTTCCTGGACAAAGTCTCGCTATAGTTTTGTTTAAGGCTTGACAGCCACTTGATGCATACATTCCATCTTTCCATCCATCCATCCATCCATCCATCTACCTACCTACCCCATCCATCCATCCTTCTATCCATCCATCTTAGCATCTACCTATCTACTACCCCATCCATCCATCCTTCTATCCATCCCTTATCATCTACCTATCTACTTACTCCATCCATCCATCCATCCATCCATCCATCCATCCATCATGGTGGGGCGTCAGAGGTGACTCGGGAGTTCATGGCTTCCATGACGGCCTTGGACCTGACCCAGTTAGTTCAAGGCCCCACTCACATAGGGGGACACACTCTGGACCTGATTTTTATCTCTGGTCAGTGGTTGAATGATCTTGGTAGAGGGGACCTAGACATCAAACCCTTGTCATGGACAGATCATTCATCCTTTCACTTAGACTTTCCTACCGCTTTCCCCCGCCGCAGGGAGACGGAACCAACCAGATGGTTCCGTCCCAGGCGCCTGATGGATCCCGAAAGGTTCCTGACGGAGCTTGGGCCGTTTCCTGAGACTCTAACACACGACTCGACTGAAGAACTGGTGGCCGCCTGGGAAAGGGCGGCCGCTGGAGCTTTGGACCGCGTCGTGCCTTTGCGGCCTCTGACCCGATGCCGATCTCAATTAGCTCCTTGGTTCTCTGAGGAGCTGAGAGAGATGAAGCGTCGGAAAAGACGCCTAGAGAGCATTTGGAGGACTAGTCAATCCGATTCTGACCGGAACACAGGTGAGGTCTTATATCAAGACCTACCTAGTGGCGATAAAAGCGGCAAAATCTAACCATTTTTCCGCTCTTATCGCATCTGCAGAGAACCGTGCCAGTTGCCCTGTTTAGGCCCTGTTTAGGGTGACCCACTCCCTTCTTCGGGGGGGAGTACGGGAAGATCCCTTGCAGGGTCGTGCTGAGGATTTTGTGCAGTTCCTGCATGATAAAGTCGCTCGGATTCGGGATGGCTTGAACTCCGTTGATGAGTCCACGGGAGGAGACCGGGGCAGGTCTTGAGAATGTTATCTGGGAGGAGTTTGATCCTGTGACTCCCGAGGATGTGGACAGAGTTCTGGGTAAGATTAGTGCCGCCACGTGTTTATTGGAACCCGTGCCCCTCCTGGTTGGTACTGGCCTCCCGGAGGTTACACGAGGCTGGCTCCAGGGGATTATAGGTGCTTCTCTGAGTGAGGGTGACTTTCCTGCCGCCTTTGAAAGAGGCGGTGGTGAGGCCCCCTCTCAAGAAGCCTTCCCTGGAACCCGGCTGAATTAGCTAACTATCGTCCAGTCTCCAACCTTCGTTTTGTGGCGAAGGTTGTTGAGAGCGTGGTGGCACGACAACTTTCCCGACACCTGGATGAAGCTATCTATCTAGACCCGTACCAGTCGGGCTTCAGGCGGGGGTACAGCACAGAAACGGCATTGGTCGCGTTGGTGGATGATCTCTGGAGGGCTCGGGACAGGGGTTGCTCCTCTGTCCTAGTCCTATTAGATCTCTCAGCGGCTTTTGATACCATCGGACCATGGTATCATGCTGCAGCGGTTGAGGGGGTTAGGAATAGGGGGCACCGTTTTGCGGTGGTTCTCCTCCTTCCTCTCCGACCGCTCGCAGTTTGTGTTGGCAGGGGGACAGAGGTCGACCTCGAGGCGTCTCACATGGGGGGTGCCGCAAGGGTCAGTCCTCTCGCCCCTCTGTTCAATATTTATGTGAAGCCGCTGGGTGAGATCATCCGTGGTTTTGGGGTGAAGTGCCATCTGTACGCTGATGATACTCAGCTGTACATCTCCCACCCCAGACCACCCCAACGATGCCCTTGATGTGATGTCTCGCCGCCTGGAGGCCGTGCGGGTCTGGATGGGGAAGAACTTGCTCAGACTCAACCCCTCCAGACCGAGTGGCTGTGGCCGCTTCCGGCGCCCCGATATAGTCAGCAGGTGCCATCGCTAACTTTTGGGGTGAATCTCTGCCCCCCACAGAGAGGGCTCGCAATCTGGGTGTCTTTCTGGATGCACGGCTGTCTTTAGAAGAGCATATGACGGCCGTGGCCAGGGGGCCTTTTATCAGGTTCGCCTGATTCACCAGTTGCAGCCCTTTCTGGATTGGGAAGCCCTACGCACGGTCACTCATGCCCTTGTTACTTCCCGGTTGGACTATTGTAATGCTCTCTACATGGGGCTCCCCTTGAAGAGCACTCGGAGGCTCCAACTGGTCCAGAATGCAGCCGCGCGGGTGGTTATGGGCGCAACTCGTTGTGCCCATGTGACACCCCTCCTGCGCGAGCTGCACTGGCTCCCAGTGGTCTTCCGGGTGCGATTCAAGGTGTTAGTTACCACCTTTAAAGCACTCCATGGCATAGGACCCGGGTACCTCCGAGACCGTCTTCTGCCACCAATAGCCTCCCACCGACCAGTCCGTTCCCACAGGAAGGGTCTCCTCAGGGTACCGTCAACCAAGTTATGTCGACTGGCGACGCCCAGAGGGAGGGCCTTCTCTGTGGGAGCCCCAGCCCTGTGGAACGAACTGCCCCCGGAAATTCGTAAGATCTCCGACCTTCGGGCGTTTCGCTGCGCACTGAAGACCCTGTTGTTCCGCCAGGCCGGACTAACAACACAATAGTTTTTAAATTGGGATATTTAAATTTATTGGGGTTTTAAATCTGAGCCACTTTATTTAATTATTTTAAATTTTATATTGTTGTTTTCTTTGTGTTTTTAAACAGGCTGTACACCGCCCTGAGTCCTTCGGGAGAAGGGCGGTATAGAAATAAAATTATTATTATTATTATTATTATTATTATCTATCCATCCATCCATCTACCTACCTCATCCATCCATCTATCCATCCATCTTATTATTTACCTATCTACCTACCTACCCCATCCATCCATCCACCTACCTACCCATCCGTCCATCCTTCTATACATCCATCCACCTATCTACCTACCCCATCCATCCATCCACCTACCTACCTACCTACCCCATCCATCCATCCTTCTATCCATCCATCTTATCATCTACCTATCTACCTACCCCATCCATCCATCCATCCATCCATCCATCCATCCACCCACCCACCTACCTACCCATCCGTCCATCCTTCTATCCATCCATCTTATCATCTACCTATCTACCTACCTACCCCATCCATCCATCCATCCATCCATCCATCCATCCATCCATCCACCTACCTACCCATCTGTCCATCCATCCATCCATCCATCCATCCATCCATCCATCCATCTACCTATCTATCTACCTACCTACCCCATCCATCCATCTATCTACCTACCCCATCCATCCATCCATCCACCTACCTACCTACCCATCTGTCCATCCATCCATCCATCCAACCTTCCATCCATCCATCCATCCATCCACCTACCTACCCATCTGTCCATCCATCCATCCATCCATCCATCCATCTACCTATCTACCTACCTACCCCATCCATCCATCTATCTACCTATCCCATCCATCCATCCATCCATCCACCTACCTACCTACCCTATCCCATCTGTCCATCCATCCATCCATCCATCAACCCATCCATCCATCCACCCACCTACCTACCCAATCCATCCATCCTTCTATCCATCCATTTTATCATCTACTACTATCTCTCTCTATCCATCCATCCATCATCTATCCATCCATCTTATCTAGTTATCTACCTACCTACACCATCCATCTATCTATCTCTTTCTCTCTCTCTTTCTCCCTCTCTCCCTACCTACCTACCCCACCCATCCACCCACCCACTCATCCATTCCACTCCTCCGGGACAAAGTCCATCTACGGGGCTTGCTGAAGAGTCACCCCGCTTCCCATCATCCGCATCCTCCTCCTCCTTCTGGAAGGCCTGCTCAAGCCCCCCCACCACCACCCTCCCCGCTTCCCAAAGCCAAGGGAGAAGCAGAGGCAGGAGCGCAAACCAGCATCCCCAACGCCAGAGTGGTGGTGGTGGGGGGGAGCCTCCAACCTTGGCAACTTGTGGACTTCAACTCCCAGAATTCCTCAGCCCTAGCTTTGCCTCTTTGCCGGCTGAGGAATTCTGGGAGTTGAAGTCCACAAGTTGCCAAGGGTTGGGAGAGCTCTGCCCTAGCAAGGAAGAAGATGGGCGTGGCCACTCCCTCACTCCCTCCCTCCTCCCTTCCCGGGCTTCCTCGCGCCGCGCGGTGGGCGTTCCTCGGCGTGGCCACGCCCCCTGGCGACGCTCCTCAGCCGCCATTTCGCGGCGGCATGGCGGCGGCGGCGGCCTCCTCAGCGAGGTGATCGGGTGCCCTTTTTTTTCTTTTTTTCCCCCCCTCCTTCCTTCCTTTCTTTCCTCCCTCCTTCCCTTCTTCTTCTCCTCCTCCTCCTCCGCCGCCTTCGCTAACGCTTCTTTTCCCCCCCCCGCAGCCTCTCCGAGACCGACATCGAGCGGGACTCCGCGGCCGCAGTGCAGGTAAGCCGCTTCTGGCCTCGGTTTTGGGGGGCGCTTGGCTCCCCCCCCCCGGGGAAGGAAGGGAAAGGAAGGAAGGAGCAGCCGTGGGAGGAAGGGGAAAAAAAGGCCCGAGGTTTTATTTTTGGGGGGGTGGAGGGGAAAGAATGCATTCCTGGGATCACTGTGTGGTCTCCTTTCCCAGGCATGCGCAGTAGAGGCTAAGCCTGCCGAGAGGACCCTTGGAAGAGACCTATTCTTATTATATATTATTGTCGTTATGTTATTATTATATAGTTATAATATATTATATAAATATAGTTAATATATTTATTTATTATCTTATTATTATTATTATTATTATTATTATTATTATTATTATTATTATTGGTTAATCTTTAGTGAGATTCACAGCCTTTGAGGTTGGTTAATAGCTCAGCAGCGAGTCCTAACCTATTATTATTTATTATTATTATTATTATTATTATTATTATTATTATTATTATTGGTTAATCTTTAGTGAGATTCACAGCCTTTGAGGCTGGTTAATAGCTCAGCAGCGAGTCCTAACCTATTATTATTATTATTATTATTATTATTATTATTATTATTATTATTATCTCTTTTATTAATTAAATATGAAACCCAGTCAACTGATCATTTAAAAATGTGTCACAAATACCATTGACTGGTGCTAATAGTTGCCAAGGGTTGCTGTCAGTGTCCTAGGTATCAACAGGACGCTTTATTAATATTTATTATTTATTTATTATTTATTATTTCTTCTCCTCCTCCTCCTTATTACTATTATTATTATTTACTTTATTCATTAAACATGAAACTCAAGTCAACTGATCATTTAAAAATGTGTCACAAATATTAATAACTGGCACTGATGGTTGATACGGGTTGCTGCCAGCATCCTAGGTATCAAAAAAGTATTTTCTTAAAATTCTTAAAATTATTAAAAATTACAAAGGAAATATTAAATCCATTTTTTAAAAAAAATTGATTTATATGCCGCCCTTTTCTGGAGACTCAGGGTGGCTTACAATGCGTTAAGCAATAAATCCATTTTCCATCCAGAGGTTTAAATTCTCTTCGCTTGCCCTATTTAACAGCTGCGTCATTTGTCATCGTTTCTGCTCGTGTCCAGGTAGTCCTCGACTTAGGACCACAATTGAGCCCCAAAATTTATGTTGCTAAGTGAGATATTGGTTAAGTGTGTTTTGCCCCATTTTACGACTTTCCTGGCCGCATTGATTAAGCGAATCATTGCAGTTGTTAAATTAGTCACGTGGTCATTAAATGAATCTGGCTTCCCCAATTGACTTTGCTTGTCACAAAAAGCAATCACATGACCCCGGGACACAGCAACGGTCATAAGTATGAACCAGTTGCCAAGCGTCTGAATTTTGATCAGGTGACCACAGGGATGCTGCAATGGTCATAAGTGTGGAAAAATGGTCATAAGTCACTTTTTCCAGTGATGCTGCAGCTTTGAATGATCACTAAATAAACTGTTGTAAATCGAGGACTACTGTATAAAAGAGGCGTTTTACCAACTCAAATTTTTAAGTGTCTCAAGACTTGATTTTAGGGTGCCATTAAAATGTACAATTTTGTAGCTTAGCAAAGCTGTGCTGTGTTGTGAGACGTAGTGTTGCTTGGAGAGTTGCAGGTTGTGCTGTAACACAAAGGAGTTTTTTGGGGGAGGGGAAGGAATTGTGATAGAATTCAGTATATGCAGCAGATCCTATGCATCGAAGCTTGATTTTTCTGCTACCTTACGCAAAAGAAAACCCATTTTATCGGGTGCGATATTAACAGTTCAGCTTCTGGAGAACTGCTTCTGCACTTCAGATTAACACCAAGATGAAGCAGAATTTACATACATTATAATAACTGTAGACATATAACAACTGATGGGCTTTACTGATCTCTCCAACATTTAAAAATCCCTACAGCCTTGACTAAATTAAATTATGATTATGATTAATTATAATTATAATTATAAATTATAATTATAAATTATGATTTTATTGTACTTGTTTCTTAACTTTTGTTCTCCGCCCTGAGTCCTTCGGGAGAATGGCGGCATATAAATTACATGTAATAAATAAATAAATAAATAAATCAGAATAGAGCTGGAAGGGACCTCGGAGATCATCTAGTCCAGCTCCCTGCTCAAGCAGGAGAGACTATACCCGTGATGGTGAATTTATGGCACGCGTGCCCAAAGTGGCACACGAAGCCATGTCGCCTGGCACGTGCGGCCTTGCCTGTTTGTCTTCTGAGTTTTTGGCACACATGCGCGCATAAAATTCAGCTGTCTTTCGCATACGCGGCAGTGCCAAAAACCAGCCAGCTGATTGTCGGGTGCGCATGCACGCCAGAACCCGGAGGTTCAGCTTTTCCGGAGTGCAATCCCTTCGCGCGTGCGGCAGTGCCGAAAAGCGCCCTGCGCATGGATGCAGCCAGCTGATCGTCGGGGGTAAATGTGTGCTACAACCCAGAAATTCGGCTTTTCTGGAGCGTGGCCCTGACAAGCGTGCACGACATTTCCGCGCAAGTTCGCCATCACTGCTCTATACCATTCCAGACAAGTGGTTGTCCAATCTCTTAAAAACTTCTACTGATGGAGCACCCACGACTTCTGGTGGCAAGCTGTTCCACTGGTTAATTGTTGTCACTGTTAGGAAGTTTCTGTTTAATTCCAGGTTGCTTCTCTCCTCGCTTAGTTTCCACCCATTGTTTCTTGTCTTGCCTTCTGGTGCTTTGGAGAATAAATTGACCCCCTCTTCTTTGGGGCAGCCCCTCAAATACTGAAATGCTCTGTTCATTTCTTGACAGGGGCTCCGAGGGTGGTTTTTTCCCCCTTTTCCTCCCTTACAGATAGCTCTCCTCCCAGCTCGGAAACGTTGCTTCTGGGGGTAGTTTCTTTGCAAGTAGCATTTTGCTAATCAGTTCTGTTTGATTTGTCAAGCAAGAGATTTCACTGCGGGCTGTGTAAGGTTTTTGCAGGAAAGTTGTCAAGTTCATGTTTTTGTATTTGTCCTTGTAGACGCTGACAGCAGCCTTGGAACAGAAGCCGGAGCACGCAGAATATTACCGCCAAAGAGCTTATGCTTACATCCTTCTACGGAATTACCACGGTAGCATTTGCTTTCCAGGTTTTTTCCTCTTAGTGAAAATTTTACATACGCACACAAGTGTGTGTGTATATATATATATATATATATTTCTATATGTGTATGCATGTGTGTGTGTTGATAGATAGAAGTATATGTATATGTATGTGTATGTGTGTAAATATATGTGTGTGTGTATGTGTGTGTGAAGTCCTCCACTTACAGCCGTTCATTTAGTGTCCGTTCAAAGTTACAACAGCACTAAAAAAAGGGACTTATGACAGGAGTGAAATCCAGCAGGTTCTGACAGGTTCTGGAGAACCGGTAGCGGAAATTTTGAGTAGTTCGGAGAACCGGCAAATACCACCTCTGGCTGGCCCCCAGAGTGGGGTGGGAATGGGGATTTTGCAGTATCCTGCCACGCCCACCAAGCCACATCACGCCCACCCAGCCACGCCCACAGAACCGGTAGTAAAAATATTTGAATTATGACTTATGACCGTTTTTCACACTTACAAGCATTGCACCATTCCCAGGGTCATGTGTTCAAAATTCAGACGCATGGCAAGTGGCTCATCTTTGTGACAGTTTCAGGGTCACGCGATCCCCTTTTATGGCCTTCTGACCAGCAAAATCAATGGAGAAGCCAGATTCACTTAACAACGAGGTTACTAACTGATCAAGGAAGGTCGTAAAACGGGACACAACTCACTTAACAAATGTCTCACATCACGACAGAAATTTTGGGCTCAGTTGTGGTCCTTGAGGACTACCAATATTGTTTTTTTTAAAAAATGTTGCTGCATAGGTTAAGTTCTTATTTTTCTCTTGTATTACATCTACTATTTTTTCTCAGAAATTATCCTTTCCGCTAAATTCTTAGGCCGTTATTTTGAAATAATTGTGGAGAAGTCCCTTGATGGTGCAGTTAAACCTTCAAGTTCTGCATTAGATTTATCATCTACCAAGAGCCTTGGTAGTACAGCGGTTTAAGGCACCCTGTTATTAAGCTGGTTATTAAGACCAGCTGCCTGCAATTACTGCAGGTTCGAATCTCCCCAGGCTCAAGGTTGACTCAGCCTTCCATCCTTTCTAAGGTAGGTAAATTGAGGACCCAGATTGTGGGGGCAGTAAGCTGACTTTGTATAAAATATACAAAAGGATGAAGGCTATTGCTTAGCGCATTGTAAGCCGCCCTGAGTCTCCCGAGAAGGGCGGCATATAAATCAAATTAAAAAAATCATACAGTTGGCAATTTGCATTATTGATGCCGTTTGTGTACAATTACACAAACAAGATACATTATTTCCTTTTGACACCAATAAGTTATATAAATGCTATAATTTGTGTTTTGTGAGGACTTTTGAGTTCAAAGCACTTTTACTGTGAACGAACCTAAAGTAACAAGTTTCCGGCAAGGTCTGAGCCAAAGTGCGGGAAACGGCAAACTCAAACAAACTGTAGAGCCCAACCCCCTTGTAGCTAGGCAACCAGAGGGCTTCTGCATACCAATGCTAGAAGAAAGGACCTTGGGGAGATGAGCAAAGCCCAGACCTGAGTTGCAAAACTGCAATGAAAAATTCCCCACTGACCCCTCCCCCCCTTTACTATGGCAGCAAGCAGTGTAATTTCAGTCCTGCACATTTAAGGTATCAGTTTGTCCTTCATTGATTTATGTAAACTTTTCCCCCCTAATGCATGAAGATGAGCCTAGATTTTCCAGCATGACAAAATTCTCTTTGATGTGTTCAACTAAGGCAGAGGTGTCAAACTCAACGTCTGCAGGCCAGATGTGGCCCGCGAAACAAACAAAACAGATTTTATTAGAACAGCTGAGAATTAACTCATTCTCAGCGTAGTCCAAACTAAATGAAAGCAAATTCTTCAAAACACCATTCCTCCGTTTATCACCAACCTTGGGATAATTAGGCAAACTGCCAAAGGCTTTTCTTGGCAAAAGTTCAGGAGCAGAAGATGCCAACAAGAAAGAAATACATCCAAACACGAAGCAAATCTCTCAACGTTGTTTTCCGGCAAAGAGCCCAAGAGCCGTTGCTGGTCTTTTAAGCCTTATGGGAGGGGCCAATCATCTCTTGGTCCTACTCCTGAGTCGTCCTCTCTGCTTTAGCTGCTCTTGCCTTCTGGCAGCTCTTCTCATACATGCACTAGGAACAGGCTCCTCCTGTCCCTCTGCCTCTCTGCTGTCAGCCTCTGGAGGCTCCAGAGTCTGCACATCACTCCCCATGGCTCCATCTCTGCCTCCGATGCAGAGCCCTCATCCGGGCCTTCCCCAGCCTCCAGGACTGGCCCCTGTTCTTCCTCAGCCTCATCGCTGTCCAGCTCCGCAGACTGCTGGCAGACCAAAACAGCATCGGCCCGGTCTACCCAATGCAAAAGAAACATGCCAGCAGTTTGGAGAGTGGGGTCAAGCTGGCCACGCCCGGCCGGCCCCCCTGAGGTCAACCACAGCCCTGATGTGGCCCTCAATGAAATTGAGTTTGACACTCCTGAACCAAGGTTTGGACTAGAAGTAGACACTCACGGAAATCCACTCTGTGATTTAGGAGAGTCTCCTTTCTTTCATCCCAGACTACCTCAGAAAGCGGTGATCGTGTGGAAAATGGAAGGGGAGTGGGCTACGCATCCTGCCTTAAGCCTGGAAAATAAAAATGGGTATAGATGTAATAAAATAATTAGTAGAGGCAAGGTAGAGATTCTGGTATTTTGCATCTGTGTAATCAGTCATTTAAGAAATGCAACTTTTATTTTTTATTCTTCTTTTTGCAGATGCAGTTGCTGATGCAAAGAAGGCTTTAGCACTCGAGCCTAATAATGCCGTAGCCTTCCTCAGGCAAGGGTAAGTGCCATTTTTTCCCCCTCCGGTCACGTGCCATTGTGTTTAATTCTCCTATTTAGTGAGGATAATGACTTTGTTTCGCGAGTTTGCTTGTGTGCATATAAATCACCTTCGTTCAAGCAGGATGCGTCGCCAGCTAATTTTTCCAAATCCTACCCTGTACGATAACCGGCAGTTGGTTTAGGGTTTTTTTTTTTAATGACCTTTCTGACCACAGTTGTTAAGTGAACCACTGCAGCTGTTGAGTTCCATTACAGTGAGCCCAAAATTCATGTTGCTAAGTGAAACATTTGTGAAGTGACTCTTGCCCCATTCTACGACCTTTCAAGCCACGGCTGTTCAGTGAATCACCGTAGGGTGACATATAGAGGTAGTCCTCAGCTTATGACCATCATTGAGCCCCAAATGTATGTCGTTAAGTGAGGCATTTGTTAAGTGAGTTTTGCCCGATTTTACCACCTTCCTTACAGTTATTACGTGAATCACAGCAGTTGTTAAATTAGTACCTTGGTTGTTAAGTTGAATCCGCCTTCTCCATTGACTTTGCTTGTCAGATGGTCACAAAAGGGGATCACATGACCTCGGGACACAGCAAAGGTCATAAGTATGAGTCTGTTACCAAGCATCTGAATTTCTGTCACATGACCATAGGGATGTTGCAAAGGTTGTAACGATGAAAATTGGACATAAGGCAATTTTTTTTCAAAACCATTGTAACTTTGGAACGGTTGCTAAATGAACTGTTGTAAGTTGAGGACTACCTTTAGAGGTTCGCATTCAATGGAATTTGGATGTACCCGAATTTGGATTTTGCCCCAAGTAATGGATAGGGTTCAATTTTGAGGGGAAGGCAGTGGCTGATGATGTATGTGGGTCTTCCACTCGTGTACAGGAATATCGTGGTGGCATCTTTCATTGGCATCCTTCAGTCTCAAGAGACTCTGGTATCGTGCTCTGGAAAGAGGTTCTAAAACAGGATCTGGTATGACTAAAAAGGCCAATTCGAGATTGGCCATCCCTTCCACACTGAGGGCAGATATATTCTGTCCCCTGCCCACCCCCCAGATTTGGCTGGTTCCGGGACTGCCTCTTTGCCTCAAGTGTCTCTTCGAATTGGAGAAGGCCATGCTGCGTCTTTAGCCTCCAAGATGAACGATCGGAGGTCAAGGTTTCCCAGTTGTTAATAGTTTATTTAGTTTAGTTTAGTTTATTTGATTTGTATACCGCCCTACTCCCGAAGGACTCAGGGCGGTGAACAGCCAACAATAAAATACATAAATACACAAAATTTAAAAACCCGATAAAATCAAATTAAATTATTTGGCCCAGACAAATTAAAATACCCCAATAATTTAAAAACAGATTAAAATTTACATATTTTTTAAAAAAAATGTTAATGTCCATTCCCAGGGCCTTTAGGTCCCTCTTGCAGATATCCTTATATCGCAGCTGTGATCTCCCTCTGAGGCACTTTCCCTGCACTAATTCTCCATACAGGAGATCTTTCGGAATCCGACCATCAGCCATTCTCACGACGTGCCCCAACCAGCGTAGACGTCGCTGTTTCAATAGTGTATACATGCTAGAAATTCCAGCATGTTCCAAGACTGCACTGTTTGGAACTTTGTCCTGCCAGGTGATGCCAAGAATACGTCGGAGACAGCGCATATGAGCCTAAGAATTCATGATTATTGTAGATCGACAGGTAGTTTTCGACTTACAGCAGTTCATTTAGTGACATTTCAAAATTATGACGGCCACTGAAAAAAGTGACTTGGGACCGTTTATCACACTTATGACCATTGCAGCATCCTCGTGGCCACGTGATCAAAATTCGGACGCATGGCGACTGACTCGTATTTATGACCGTGGCACTGTCCCAGATAACATGCGGTTCCCCTTTGCGACTTTCTGACCAGCAAAGTCAGAACTGTAACCACTGTATTACTAACTTAACGAACTGCAGTGATTCACTTAACAACCGTGGCAAGAAAGGTCGTAAAATTGGGGGGGGGAATTCAACTGTCTCACTTAGCAGCAAAATAAAATTGGGCTCAATTGAGGGCTACCTGTATAGATGGCATAATGGCTCAGCAGTTAAAGATGCTGAGCCTGTCACCTGGAAAGCTGACTGCCAAGGTTTGAGACCCGAGCGCCACACAATGGGATGAGCTCCTGTGACTTACCCCAGCTCCTGCTCACCTAACAGGTCGAAAGCATGAAAATGTGAGTAGATCAATAGGTACCACTTCGGCGGGAAAGTAACAACGTTCCGTGCTTCCTTCGTTCCACCTTGGACCTTGGAAAATTTCTTCGAACAATTGCCTCGGCTAAAAGCCACACGAGTCAGTCAGACACAACTGGACAAGGGAAACCTTTACCTTTTTATTCGTATTATAGATGAACTTTTTTGAGATTGCCGTACTGTAATTAACCATCCAGGGCTTCCAAGGGGGGAAAAAAGAAGAAAAGTTTGATTGAAAAAAAAACTGTTAGAAAAACACATTGGCCTTCAGTGGCTCTTCCCCTTCTGAGTTAATAGCAATAGCACTAGACTTACATACCGCTTCACAGTGCTTTTACAGCCCTCTCTAAGCGGTTTACAGAGTCAGCCTCTTGCCCCCAACAATCTGGGTCCTCGTTTTACCCACCTCTGGAAGGGACGGAAGGCTGAGTCAACCTTGAGACTGGTGAGATTCGAACTGCCAAACTGCTGGCAGCCGGTGATCGGCAGAAGTAACCTGCAGTACTGCCCTCAAACCACTGCGCCACCGTGGCTTAATCCATTAAATCAGAGTTCCCCAACCTTTCCGGGTTGGTAGCCCAGAGTGGGGGGGGCGGGGCGGGAAAGGGGGGATGGTTTTGAGGAAGGGGCAGGTGCGTGCGTACCTATGAGTACCCATTTGCTCACGCAAGTGGGACCAGCCGGCCACGTGGCCCGGTTGCGAATAGGCTACAGACATTAAATGAAAGTTTTGCTGTATCCAGAGCCAAGAAACCCAAAAGAGACTATCTCAGCATTAGTTCGTTCTTCCTGCTACGTAAAGTCAAAGATTTGGTACTCTGTTAAGATAAGACAATTACTGACATGCTCTCCTTTTATCTCTTCCATCAGAATCGGTGAATATTATATGAAAAATTATGATTCCGCCCTGAAGTCTTTCATTGAGGGACAAACACAGGACAGTAAGTATGTTTGTGTATGAATTTTAAACGGTAGACAGGCCATACAGTAGTTCATAGGAAATGGGTGCATAATTCTACTCAGGTGGTAACAGTCACATGCAGATAGTCCTTGCTTAACGACTAGCCGCTTAGTGACTGTTCAGAGTTACAACAGATGCTGCAAAAGCTACTTATGAACCAGTTCTGGAGTTCTGGTAGCTGCACACACATAAATACACGCACACACCACTGTCACCTGACTGCATTTTGGGTGATTGGCAGCCGGCTTAAATGTATATGTTGTTGCAGTGTTCCATGATCACATATCTGCGATTTATGTCCATATTTTTGCCAGTTTCTAGCAAAAAGTGGTTCTAGGAACGTAACATTGATTGGCTTAACAACCGCAGCATTTGCTTAACAACCGTCGTAAAAACAATGTAAAATTGGGTCTGATCATGTCGAATCCTCGACTTAAAACTGCCATGATTTAACGACAGAAATTCTGGGCTCCATCGCAGTCGTAAGTCGAGGACACCTGTACATTACGAAGACTCTCAGGCAACCTGTGCGGAAACACATTGGAAACACCTCATTGCTTCTTTCCTTGGTAAAAAAAAACAAACATTTTAATTGGAAAAGGATTAAGTCTCTTGGAAAATTAATTAGTCTTTCTCTGTGAGCTGGACCTTTCCAGCAGAGGTCATATAACGCTGTTCATAGAAATGTCAGTTGCTATTTTATCTGTCAGTGGCTGCGTTTCTTCGTTACGCTAAGCCAAAATTGTGAAGGTTTCTGGTTTACCCCGAGCAAATAGCCTTTGGCCGATCTCTGTTCCGTGACTGCCACTTGATTATTATTATTTTTTTCTGCAGTGGAAACAGCTAAACCAACAATTGAAGCTCCTTTCACGCTGACTTGCTGTAATGTAAAAACGACTTTGGCTTCTGTTTCCTAGGCAGGGCTAAGAAGCAGGAGCTGAGATCTGGTTTCCTGTTCTGCTTTATTAGAGAAAACAAGCCTGGAGTTTATTTATTTATTTATTTATTATTGTGATTTATATGCCGCCTTTCTCCCTGGGGACTCAAGGCGGCTTACAAAATGACAAATTCCAATACAAATCACAATGAAATAAAATTAAAATCAGCAACCCTATTAAAAACAGTTTAAAATTATGACAGTGTACCCCCAAACGGATCAGTTGAGTTGACGAAAGAGCCACGTCTTCAGCTCGCGACGGAAGGAAAGAAGGTCGGGGGCTGTCCTGAACTCGGTGGGCAATCCATTCCAGAGGGTCGGGGCTCCCACAGAGAACGCTCTCCTCGGGGCCATCAGCCGACATTGTTTGGCCGACGGCACCCTGAGGAGGCCCACTCAGTGAGAGCGCACAGGACGATGGGAGAGCGGCTGGAGATGATCCTGCAAGTACCCCGGGCCTAAGCCATTTCTAGCAGGGTGGATTTGATTTGAATCCAGGCGATTTAAATCACTAGTAAAAAGGCTCGATTTAAATCAACTCGATTTAAATCATAATTTTTTAAAGAGCAACTGTCATCTCTGTCCCGCAGCGGCTCCTCCTCTGACCCGCTGTTGACTCCCTGACAGTCCCAGTCACTTTAATGGGATGGCTGGTGATGCGGCAGTGACACAACACGGGGAGGGACGTGGCAGGCAGCAGGTGAGTGGATGCCCGCTAACAGGCTCTGCTGCCATGATGGATCTGAAATGACAGGTGCTCTTTAATATGATCTTTATAAGCTGCTTAGAAGGTTTCACTTTCATTTTTACTGCTTGCCCTTCCTCCTCACACTTAAGAGCCTGGTGGTACAGATACATTTCTCTTCAAAGAATCATACAGCTTGTGGTGTACATAAAGGAACGTTTCTGAACTTATGATTTATCTCATGGTTTACTGTGAAATTGTGTGAATGCACCAATGCATATTCTCTCAGCTGGCAGAGCTTGGATTCGTTGAATGAGTTTGCCAAAAATGTAAATATTGCAGAATATACAGCCTCATGCTACATAACTAAGCTCCCATTTCATGCTGAATAAACTAAATTATTAACATTATCTTAAATAGAAAACTATCTTTAGATAGATATTTTACTCCGAAAGCATTTTATTAAAATAAATTCGATAAAAATAAAAATCAGATTTAAATTTTAAAAAATCAATTTTTAAATTTTTTTAAAAAAAATATCGATTTTTATCTGTCCTGGTTTCTAGTTCAAATGTTGTTCTAAAAAAGGAAGATGCAAAGTCTTTGTAATAGTTGGCCGATGTTGAACCGGTGCAGATTTTCCCTAGTGCAACATTTCTAGGGGGTGCCCTAGATTCCAGGTACTTTGTTTTAGGGAGAGAATAATTCCATGGCTAAACCCAGCCATTGCATATTGTAGTCTCCGTTGTGTCTCCTGATATTTGGGTAAGATGCTTTTTTATCACTTTAGTCCAGACCTCTCTAAACTTGGCAACTTTTAAGACTTGTGGACTTCAGCTCCCAAAATCCTTCATGCTGGCTGACAAATTCTGGGAGTTTGAAATCCACAAGTCTTAAAAGTTGGAAACCCCTGCATTTAGTCCAAGCCCAAGTTAACTCAGAGTGATGATATGAGGGAATAGATGCGGTTTGTGTGTTCTAAAGGTGCTTTTTCAAGAGGCAAGTGGACTTCCTGGTTTTTCTTTGAAGACGTTCGGCTTCTCCGCCAAGAAGCTTCTTCAGCTCTGAAGCTTCTTGGATGAGAAGCGAAACGTGAGGGCAGGAGAAGAAGCAATGGGTGGAAACTGATCAAGGAGAGAAGCAACTTAGAACTAAGGAGAAATTTCCTGACAGTGAGGACAATTAACCCGTGGAACAACTTGCCTCCAGAAATTGTGAATGCTCCAACACTGGATGTTTTTAAGAAGATGTTGGATAACCGTTTGTCTGAAGTGGTGTAGGGTCTCCTGCCTAAGCAGGGGGTTGGACTGGAAGACCTCCAAGGTCCCTTCCGACTCTGTTATTCTGTTCCATTCTTGAAGAAATGGCAGCACTCTAAAAAATTGTTTCTGCTAGTTTTTCTAATGCTTCTCATTATTCTCATATTCATGATGGTTAAGGGTCTGCAGATGTGATGGAGAGCCACACGTTTCACCTTTACCTATTTTTAACATATTTTTTCAAAATTAAAAGGCTAGAAATCTATCTTAAGGGTCAAAAGTTCCGAAGAACTTTCAGAGTAGAAGAAAATAGAAATAAGAGATGATCATGTTTTTGGCGGACGACATTGTTAACTCTGCCTCTTTCTACCTGTAGGTGCTGATTCCACCTTTCCTGTCTGGATTAAAAGATGCGAAGAGGCCCTTAGTGGTAAGCTCCACTGTGCGTCTCTAAACTTCCATGTTGTGGATAAAGGGGTCAGTCGTGCAGTGCCAGTCCACCTTTTTCTTTCATGTCTGTGAAAATTTGTTAAAGACAGTTTGGTGTTTACCTTGAAGGATTTTCCTAGGAAGCGAAGTAGTTCCTGATTTTAAAGCATGAAGAGGTCCCCATAAAGGAGAATGTTTGTAGCTCAGGGTTGGTGGTTTTCTTATAGGCGTTTCATGACCCAACTAGGGAACATCATCAGTTGTAGAAAGGAGTGGGGTTTGCAGGGGGGAGGAGGAGGTGATCCTTTGTCCTTTCTGAGCTTGCTTGTTTTCCTGCAGAGGTTTCATTACCCAACTAGGGAACATCATCAGTGCTTCTAGCTTACCAGCACTGATGATGTTCTCTAGTTTGAGTCATGAAACTTCTGTAAGAAAACAAGCTCAGAGAGCATGAAGAGGGTTCAGGAGATCCTGTGGCGTGTTTCACCATGTTGTTTTCAAAATGATTTAGGCATCTTTTTGGAAACTTCTTGAAAAGAGGAAGAATCTGAACCAGGCCCCCCGAATACATTGGGATGGATGGATGGAGGGACGGAACGGATAGATGGGTGGAGTGGTGGTATTCAGCTGGTTCAGACCGGTTCAGGTGAACTAGTAGCTGAGATCGTGGGTGGGCCCCCCACCCCCTTGTCCTGGTGCTATGCCGTCCTATTTAGCCATGTTTTCGAGGCTGGGCGCATGCATGGAAGGTGTGCACGTGGGGCAAACCGGTGGTAAAAATATGTGAAACCTACCTCTGGGTGTGTGGGTGGATGGATGGATGGATGGATGATAGAATAGATAGATAGATAGATAGATAGATAGATAGATAGATAGATAGATAGATAGATAGATAAAATAGATGAAATATACATAGATCTATGTATGTATGTATGTATGTATGTATGGATAAGAGACAGATAGATAGATAGATAGATAGATAGATAGATAGATAGATAGATAGATAGATAAGATAGATAAGATAGATGAAATATACATATATGGATGGATGGATGGATGGATAAGAAAGATAGATAGATAAAATAGATGAAATATACATATATGGATGGATGGATGGATAAGAAAGATAGATAGGATAGATGAAATATACATAGATGTATGTATGTATGTATGGATAGATAGATGATAAGATAGATAGGATAGATGAAATATACATGTATATATGTATGTATGTATGGATAGATAGATAGATAAGATAGATGAAATATACATATATGTATGGATGGATGGATAAGAAAGATAGATAGATAAGATAGATGAAATATATATGGATGGATGGATGGATAAGAAAGATAGATAGATAGGATAGATGAAATATACATAGATGTATGTATGGATGGATGGATGGATAGATAGATGATAAGATAGATAGGATAGATGAAATATACATATATGTATGGATGGATAGATAGATAAGATAGATGAAATATAGATGTATGTATGTATGTATGTATGTATGTATAGATAGATGATAGATAGATAGGATAGATGAAATTACATGTATATATGGATGTATGGATGTATGGATAGATAGATAAGATAGATGAAATGTACATGGATGGATGGATGGATAGATAGATAAGATAGATGAAATATAGATGTATGTATGGATGGATGGATGGATAGATAGATGATAAGAAAGATAGATAGGATAGATGAAATATACATGTATATATGTATGTATGTATGGATAGTAAGATAAGATAGATGAAATGTACATGGATGGATGGATGGATAGATAAGATAGATGAAATATAGATGTATGTATGTATGTATGGATAGATAGATGATAAAATAGATAGATGAAATATACACGTATGTATGTATGGATGGATAGATAGATAGATAAATGAAATGTACATGGATGGATGGATAGATAGATAAGATAGATGAAATATAGATAGATGTATGTATTTATGTATGTATGGATAGATAGATAGATAAATGTTAGAGATAAACAGAAAGAGATGAGAGAGATGGATATGATCTCTCATATCCATACATAGATAGATGTTAGCTAGCTAGTTACAATGATTTCAGAGTCCTGGGGTCACGTGGTCCCCTTTTGCGACCTTTTGCTTAACAATGGTGGCAACAACGGCGGTTCAAAAACTCACCTACCAGCGGGTCTCACATTAGCAACAGAAATTTTTGGCCATACATCGAGGACTCCCCGTGCCCGTTCTGGAAAACGTAGTTCTGAGAACATGCAAAGCATTGGAGAAACCGTTTCTATAAAACCTCGCCACATGGATGATGCAAAAGAACGGTTTACCGCAATTTTGCAATATTCAGCTTTAGCCTTTAGAGCCCGAAAGCTCTCGATGTGCATTATTACCTCACTCTAGCAGGCAAGTCATGTCAACAAATTATGCTGGCACCTCAATCTTACGGAGGAGGGGAAAAAAAAACGTTGCTTCTGGCATCCGTACACAGGCATGGATTATTATTATTATTTTTATGTCTTGTTTTCAATTTCAATTTCATACCAGTAGGAAATATTATTGCCTAACGTCTGTGAAAGATGACTGCATCTTTAAAGGTCGAAAAAAGGAGAGATTTAACTCTTCAGATATAGTGCATTTTTGAAGTCTTTTTTTTCCTCTCTCTGCACCTCTGCAAATTTTGCAAGAATTAGCAGCTTTCTGCACATGACTTAAAAAAAAGCAAGTTTAAGCTCCGTTAATTAAAATTAAAATTTGTTATAACCTGAACAAACTCACGGGTAAGATTTTCATCGTTACGTGGATCAAAATTCATGCTATATATTATGCAGGCAGTTCTTGATTTACGACCACAATGGAGCCCAAAATTTCTGCTCTTAAGTGAGACATTTTTAAAGTGAGTTTTTGCCTGTTTTACAACCTTTCGTGCCAGAGTTGTTAAATGAATCACTGCCATTGGTAAGTTACTAAGCTGGTCCTTAAGTGAATCTGCCTTCCCCATTGACTTTGCTTATCAGAAAGGTCACAAAAGGGGATCACGTCATCCCTGGGGACATAGCAACCGTCATAAATACGAGTCAGTTGCCAAGCATCACAGGATCATGGGGCTGATGCACAGGTCGTAACTGAAAAACAATCATAAGTCCCTTTTTTCAGTGCCGCTATAACTTTCAACAGTCACTAAGCGAACTAGTAGATCTTGACTACAAGCATTCTTTTAGTGACCGTTCACAGTTATAACGGTTACTGAGAATGGTCACACTTATGACCATTCCAGCATCCTGATCAAAATTCAGATGCTTGGCAACTCATACTTACGATGGTCGGAGTGTCCTGGGGGTCACAGGATCCCCTTTTGCGGCCTTCCCACAAGAAAAATACAGGGGGAAGATTCAATTAACAATTGTGCTCCTAACTTAACAACTGCAATGATTCGCTTAACAACAGTGGCAAGTGTCGTAAAATGGGACAAAACTCAGTTAACAAATGTCTCGCTTAGCAACAGAAATGTCGGGCTCAACTGTGGTTGTAAGTCGGGGACTAGCTGTAAAAACCTCTGTGCGAAAGGCCTTGAATCTAGTTTTACGATCTAAACATGATTAATGTTGGCTTGTGCTCTGTATTACCTGCAGTGAATATGTTTTCTAGTCAGTCTCTAAATTTCCGTATCCTTAAATATCCGTAACAACCTTTTCTAATGTCTTGTCTTAGAAGTCAACATACAGTATTACGGAAAGCCAGCCTTCGAGTACCTATTTAATTTTATAGGATCTTCATTGGCAAAATGGGTGGGAGTGGGATGGAGATAGACAGATAGATAGATAGATGGATGGATGGATGGATGGATGGATGGATGGATGGATGGACGGATGGACGGACAGACAGATATGCAAAATGTTACGCATATTGTGTAAAGTTGAAGTTCCTCGTTTTGATTTTGGAGTGTGAAACAATTCTGTTTGGATTTATTTGAATCAATAAAGCCAATTCTGAACGGTTGGAAGATTTTATGTGATCATAACTGGTTGTATGGAAACACCTTTGATTAAAAGAAACGATGCGAGTTAATCAAAGCTGTTTCAATACTTGATCTGTCCCACCTACTTTTATTACCAAAACCTTTTCAAGCCAATGATGCAATCTATAATGTTTTATTTGAGAAGTCCCGCTTTCAGTTAAGTATTAAAACTCATTTGCTTAGTAAAAGTATTGATGAAAAAAAGGAAAAAATGGAATTAGTGTGTTATATGATTACTTTATATGTATCTTAAAAAAACATGGTTATGGCTTGTTAGAGTTTTGTCTGAAAATCTGCATTGTTTTTCCTTTGCAGGGCCTGGATCACAAGTGGAAATGGTATGATTTTTCCTAATAATTAATTTTCAGATTAATGGATTAAAATGTAATTGTAGTTACCTTTAAAATAGCTTTCCCTTGGTCCATGTGAAATTTGTCTTTTTTTTTTTTAAAGGAAGATGTATCCTATAAATTCCGTGACAGTGTGACAATAACTCTGTGTTATTTTTCAATGACACAATGATAAATATTATGTGCAGTGCAAAACTGTAATATACGGACAACCAGTTTTGTCTAGTAATTAAGGCACCATGCTAGAAATTAAGATTATAAACGCTAGACCGGCCTTATGCAGGACAACAAGCTGGGTGACACTGGGCCAATCACCAGGAGACTGTGAGTTCTAGTCCCGCCTTAGGCAGGAAAGCCAGCCGGGTGACTAAAGGCCAATGACTATTTCTCAGCCGAACCCACCTCACAGGGTTGTTGTGGGGAAATAGGATGAGGAAAGGGTATTAGATATGTTCGCTACCTTGAATAAAGGTTGAATAAAAATAAAGAAAAAAAATTAAATACAAAATACAAAAAGACTAGATAGGTAGGTAGGTAGGTAGGTAGATAGGTAGGTAGATATAGTTTTTTTGTATTTAATTTTGTTTCTTTATATATATAAATATATAATAAATATAATGGATGGAGTTCTTGAAATTCGTGGATGGAGGATGGCCAGGTCATCAGTTACTTGCTTTCCATTTTCATGGGTCTTTCTCCCTCTTTCTGGGTTTTTAAGTATTTTGTTTATACTTAGACTTTTTAATTAAATTCTATGATTGCCTTTCTTCCCTAAGAGATACTCCATGAATGTTCATCTGTCCTGCAATGTAAAAAAAAATATAATTGCGCTTGGCTTAAAACTGACATTGTTTTTCACTGTTCGATGTCTTTTCCTTACCATGATGTCCCCTTGTGTTTCTGCAACCTCAGGCGTGGCCATCTAAGATCAAGTAAGTTTTGTGGTTAATGATCTCAATATAGATATAGTGCGTTTTATAAAAAAATATGTGAACATTTTTCATGGTGTCTGTAACTCACTCGTAGGTGCCTGTCGGTGAATGGTACTCAATCAACCGTGAACTTATAGATTTAAATCCAGAAATATTTCTGTTGGGTATCATACCAGAAAAATATAACAAAGGGAATATGTACTTAATATTGCATGTGTTAACAGCGGTTAGAATTATATTTGCACAACATTGGAAGAGTGTGGAGATCCCTACAGAAGAGAAGATAATAATAATAAAAAAATACTAGAATGTACAAAAATGGACAGGTTAACATTTGAAATTAAAGAGAAGGAAGCCACTGAATATTTTGAAATATGGGACTTGTTTTATCAATGGCTAACTTAATAGAAACCGAAGTTAGAACTTTCAAAACCATAAGAGAAGGATTAATTTTATTATGATGGTTTATTACTATATCATTATTAATGTTAATCAGTATTAGTAATCAGTATTAATGTTATGATGAGAAATCACTGTCATTATATGATTATTACTAATGAATATGATGATGATGATGATGATGATGATGATGATGATTATTGCTTAAACAAATTGTAACCAGACAACACACTGTTTATATAAACATTGAAATTGTTGCTCTTTCTACCAATAGTAAAAAACAAAACAAAACCGTATCATTCTCAGCCAGTTGAAGGATATATATATTGACATCCTTCCTAAAGATCTACCTACAGTATTCCACACTGCCTTTGACTTTAACTCTTCCTTCAAACCCTAGTTACACTCAACTAAATATGGTGAATTTCCCTCCCCTCTTTTGTTCTTCCTTGTTTACTGTCTATTTGGGAGGGTAAGATCCAGATTCCATCCCAGCTGCCTGTGAAGTTTTAACATATATGCTTTAAATTACAATAATCCTTACAACAATCCTGAAGTTAATCAAGTAGTACTATAATTCTCTCCTCAACAATTGAAGGACCGAGGCTAAGATACTGAATTTGCAACCTAACAGCAACCAGAAAAAACCTTGAAACAATTTAATTTTATGTACAGCTATTCCTCAACTGAACAATAGTACATTTAGTGACTGTGTGTTCACTGAAAACTCAAGGTCTGGTGTATAAAAATCGTGTTCCGTTCACTGGCTTGGAAATAAATGCTTTAACAGCGATTGCCAATCTCGGTGTCTCTCATGGAAGCTTATGCATCATAGACAATTTTGTGGCTCCCCCCCCCCCGCCCCAACCATAAACAGAAAGCTTGGCCTTTACAACTCAAAGAATAGATCCCGAGTATCCTGAGATACTTTTAAGTCCTTGCAATACATCAGTGAGGAAGTTTCCCTCACTTTTCCCTGTTGTCTGGATAGACTTTATTTTTAATGCATGTGGTGGTGTCTGATCGCAGCTCCTTTTGGGGGTCTCAAAAGATTTGACAAGCTGGGCCCCATCTTTTTCCTTGAGCACCATGTAAGATCCTGAAGATAGCTTTCTGTAATCCCTGTCAGTCACGCTAGGGCAGGGGTCTGCAACCTTAAATACTCAAAGAGCCATTTGGACTCGTTTCCCACAGAAAAGAAAACACCGGGAGCCACAAAACCTTGGTGGGTGTGGCCAACTCGATGTCACTCACTTCCACCAGTCACATGAACCCCCCTAGCCACGCCTACCCAGCCGGTCATTAGGGCAGAGAACCCGTTGTTAAAAAACACAGGGAATCACAAAATCCTTTTGACATATCTCTCTCTCCCCTGCCCCCCCTGTATCTCTCTATGTCTCTCTCTCTCTCCCCCTCTCTCTGTATCTCCCTGTCTCTGCCCTGGCCGCTCCCCCCCCCCCCCCCCCCCCCCCCCCCCCTCTTCCAGGCTAGGGGCGACTAGGAGGGGAGGGCGAGGGATGGGGCCAGCCAGTGGTGGGATCCCCTGGCAGGGAGCCACAGCAGAGGGCCCAAAGAGCCGCATGCGGCTCCAGAGCCGCAGGTTGCTGACCCCTGTGCTAGGGAGATCCTGCAATCCACAGACCTTTTTTTGAGTTTGCTTTTGTTTTTATTTTAACGCAAGTGGGACTCTCCAGGGCAGGGATTAACGACACCGATACAAGGTATTTCTACCTTTTAATGCGTGGCTAATTTGCCCGATAATACGCACTCAATTTGGAAGCCACAAAGGAGCCTGAATTCATTACTATTAACCTTTGGGGTCAGCCTGGCTAACGTAGCCTTGATTCCATTTATTTCTCATCCAATCTCAGCTCAGTACTGTTCTATTAGTGCAGGGATGCGTCTGGTTAAAAATAGTCCTTAAATCATTCCTAAAATAATTGCTCTGTGGAGTTAAAAGAATTCACTCTTCCTTGCCTTTTTTTTTTTCTCCCCATAAGAGCTGAACAACCGTTAACCCTACGTGTTTGCATGAACTTTGATTGTGTCTTAAAATGTCACTGAAGAATAAGATCAATACCAGGCGGGTACCAAGAATTCCAGCAACTTTACTTCTTATTGGAGAAGAAAAACCACTGTATTTTTTCCGAGTATAAGATGCACTCCCCCCCCCCAAGAGGGTGAAAATTTGGGTGTGTCTTATGCACCAAATGTAGCCCCCCCCGCTCCCCCCCCAATGGGGCGCGCAGAGGGGGCAATAGGCTATGGGAATCCCTGCAGCCTGAAACAGCTGATCTTCAGGGGCCAGATCCAACTGACAATCAGCTGCTTGTGCTAATCAGGCTGTGCTGAAGCTGAAACGGGCTGTTTGCTGCAAGGAGGCCAATTGCTGGGAGGCAGAGGCAGATTTTTTTTTTTAATCTTGTTTTCCTCCTCAAAAATGGTAGGTGCGTCTTATAGTCCGGAGCGTCTTATACTCCGAAAAATACGGTACTTCTAGCTCGGAACAGAAAGAACAGAGTTCGAAGGGATCTTGGAGGTCTTCTAGTCGAACCCTCTGCTCAAGCAGGAGACCCTGGTTGTCTAATCTCTTCTTGAAAACCTCCAATGATGGAGGACCCAGCCTGGTTGATTGTTCTCCCTGCCAGGAAATTTCTCCTCATTTCTAGGTTGCTTCTCTCCTTGATTAGTCTCCATCCGTTGCTTCTTGTTCTGTTTTCAGGTGCTTTGGAAAATAAGTTGACCCCTTTTTCTTTGTGGCAGCCCCTCATATATTGCAATACTGGCATCATGTCAATTCCCAAAGATTCCACAGAATCCTGTGGCTGCATTCAGACATAAAACTTAACTGGGATTTCACGTTGCAGTAAAGTCAGCCTTCTAAACTTTGGTTTACGCATGCTGACCTCTTCCATCTTTCTGGAGGCTGGCAGAGGAAATTGAAAATTTCTGCTTTAACATATCAGCACTGTGTGAATCTGGACATGCTACAGCTAGTTAAGTCGTAGCTAGTGTATTCTGCATTCCACTTTGAAAATAACTGCTCGTTAGCATAATACAAGTTGACTATAAATGTAACCTTTAAAAAAGGTTTATATGGATCAAATCAGTGGTGAAATCTAAAATTTGTTATGCCGGTTCTGTGGGAGTGGCTTGGTGGGGGGGTAATGTGACTGGGTGGGCATGGCCATTAAAAAAAACTTTTAAAACCATTTTTTCTACAACCTCTCTGGCGAAGAGGTTGTAAAAAAATGCTTTTAAAAGTAAAAAAAAAGCCTCTGATGATTGTGAGGCTCAGCTGGGTAGGGAGGGATTTTTGCTACCGGTTCTCTGAACCACCCGCCGCCATCGCTACCGGATCAGGTGATCCGGTCCGAACCGGGAGCATTTCACTCCTGGATCAAATCCAAAACTTCGTAGCACGGAGAGCTATTAAGAGGGGCTTACTTGAGTCAGAGTTTTAACTTCTCAGGTGTCAAACCGGGAGGGCGAAACCAGCATCCAATGTTCGTGTAACAAATCTTTTTTTTTTCCCTCCCCTCCTTAAAGGTATGACTGGTACCAAACCGATTCTCATGTCATTGTAACAATCATGATCAAACATGCGAAGGAAGATGATGTAAACATAACATTCTCGGAGAAAGAGGTAATATAGGCACCCAATTTTGAGGTTCAGAACTGAACCAAAAGTTGTTTTTCCAGGCTAGGATAGGAGGAAAGGATGCTTTAGATGTTGCTGTGATATTCTTTGGTTCTCTGCCAGTATTTAATTGCAAAAAAAAGTAGCTTTCATTACTGATATTGTATATTTTGAGGGTTCTACAAGTTGCTTAGTTACAAGTTGCTTAGGGACACGGTGGCTCAGTGGCTAAGACGCTGAGCTTGTTGATCGAAAGGTCGGCAGTTCAGCGGTTCGAATCCCCAGTGCCGTGTAATGGGGTGAGCTCCTATTACTTGTCCCAACCTAGCAATTTGAAAGCACGTAAAAAAAGGCAAGTAGAAAAATAGGGACCACCTTTGGTGGGAAAGGAACAGCGTTCTGTGCACCTTTGGTGTTGAGTTATACCGGCCACATGACCACGGAGACGTCTTTGGACAGCGCTGGCTCTTCGGTTTTGAAATGGAGATGACCACCGCCCCCCAGAGTCGGGAACGCTAGCACATATGTGCGAGGGGAACCTTTACCTTATTTTATATAACTTGAAGGAATGAAAACATAGCACTGGAAAAAGAAACTGCATCGTTTCTCAGTTTACTTATTTGTAACTTTGGATCAGTTGCTACATTTTAATCTAAAATATATCTAAACATTTCCTAACAATCTGACATATAACTTTCTGATGCCTAAGAATATAAATCTTCGGTTTATTTCTGGTCTGCTTTCTTTTCAAATTCTTATGCCTGAGTACATTAAAAGTTTCCAGGGAAGATTATTTGAATTCATTGTTTCTGAATAGGTAAAATGAAGATTAGGAGATCCGCTTTACTAATTGCTGGATTGTGATATGTTGTCTTGTCTCAACAGCTAAATGCATCACTGAAGCTTTCCTCCGAGGAGAACTACAAGCTAAAACTTCATCTTCTTCATTCCATAGTCCCAGAGCAAAGTTTATTTAAAGTTCTTTCAACCAAGGTAATTTTTTCTTTCTTCAAAAATAATCCATTCTCATTAAAGAGAAGGAAAACGTGTCAAGTTTTATATCCATCCAAAGGAACGGTAATTCCAAAGCAATCAATAGGTGCTATAATCCATTAACGGGTCTTCCTTTTGTTAGTTGTTTTAAATCCTTTGCCCAAGTAGTTTTTAGCCGCTATAAAGGATAGGGCACACTTATTGATGACCATTATTTAAAGGCTGTTCCCGCCGGGGTAGATCCCACTCACCTGGCTTTCAAACGCTTTCCTCCTGCTTCTCCTCCTGCACTTCGCTTGTCCCGGATGCCGCAGCCTCGAGGCAGCCGCCATGGCTGCTGCTCCCACCGCCGCTGGCGCAGAAGGCAATCCTCTGGCCCCGAGGAACCTGCCCATTCCTCTCGGCCATCCGAGGGGTCCCTCTCTAACCCCCTGTCCCTGTGGACAGGGTAGTCCACAGACCTGCCGGCGATGGCTTGACAGACGGGGTTTTCGCGGGGCTCCTAGGCGCCCCGCTATTTCCCCATCTGAATCGCCGCGACACCAACCGGAAGTCCATGTCTTGTCATTCTTGTCCTTGTCTAGGTAAGCACATGTTCAACCAAGTGGCCAACATTACTTGTTATTTTCTAAGAAAATTCGATTCTTGGGCATTTTTGGAAATAAGGAACACACTAGAGCGGGTGTTGGCAACCCGCAGCTCCAGAGTTGCATGTGGCTCTTCGACCCCTCTCCTGCGGCTCCCTGCCGATTTGGTCGCGCAACCTGCTCTCCACCCTGAGACACTGGCCCAACCTGGCCGTGGCTGATGCCAACCTTGCTAACATGAGAGCTGGTGGGGTGAGAATGGGATCCGGGAGGAGGGTACGACAGAAAGGAGGACAGGCCCACAGCTGAGGAGCACGCATGAGTTGCGGCGACGACTTCCCCGGAAACGATCCCCCTCCTTATGTGACCTTCTGGCCAGCTGTTGCAGGGCGGGGGGGGAGGTGCACGAGTGGCTGGGCTGGGCTAAAGCGTAGCAAAGCCACGCGGAGCAGACGGGTTGACTGGCTGACGGGCGAGCGTCTTTGGTGAGGGCGCTCCGGCTTTCTCCGACCCTGATCCCCGGGGTGGGCATGAGAAGTTCGGTGGGGCCAGCCCCCTTTTCCCACTACCCTGAGCTTTACTCCTCCAGCTGAGCAGTGCTGCTGGTGGCATTGTTTTGTTTTGTTTTGTTTTGTTTTTATTGAATTTATATACCACCCTACTCCCGAAGGACTCAGGCGGTGAACAGCCATAGAATAAAACATATAAATACAAAATTTAAAATAAAATAAAACGAATTAAATAATTTGGCTGAACAAATTTAAAGCCCCAATAATTTAAAAACAAATTTAAAATTTCCATTTAAAAAGGGGGGGGGAAGCATCCTCTGGGCGGCGAAAGAAGAGAAAGAAAGGAGAAGGGAGAGAGAAAAATGAGAGAGAGAAAAGGGGAAAAAACAGAGAGAGAGAGAGAGAGAAATGAGAAAATGATGGAGGGAGAGAATGAGAGAGAGAAAAGAGAGAGACAGAGAAAAAAGGAGAGGGAGGGGGAAAGAGAAATGAGAGCTGGAGGGAGAGAATGAGAGGGAAAAGAGAGGTAAAATGAGAAAGAAAGAGAGAGAAAGAGAGAAAGAAGAAAGAAAAGAGGGAGAGGAAATGAGAGAGAGAAATGAGAGAGAGAAAGAGGGAGAGACCCATTTCCCACAGAAAACGCTGGGAGCCAGAAAATCTGGGTAGGCATGGCTGGGGGGGCGGGTGTCATTTGACTGGGTGGGAATGACATTGAGTCGGCCTAGCCCACCCAGGTTTTGTGACTCCCGTGTTTTCTGTGGGAAACGGGTCCAAATGGCTCTTTGAGTGTTTAAGGTTGCAGAAACCTGCCCTAGAGTTTCGAGCTTTGCTTTATAGCAGTCCATCCTTCCAAGTCTGAACAGCATGGAAATAATTCCAATAATATAATTCCAGAGGTTTGGTTTTGCTGGCACAGAAAAGTTGAGTCTCGCAGTAGTTGAAGTGGCAGCTGCCCATCCCAGCAGGTCCTTGAGAAGGACTTGATAACTTTGATATGGCCCTAGGGCTAATCAATCAATCAATCAATCAATCAATCAATATAAATAATTTGAAATGCCAGATCCAGTGTGAACATCCGGCTGACTGTGCAACGAAGCATAATAAGTAGCTTTTTTTGAAGACTGTCCTTTGAAGAGCATTAAATGATAGTTTGCAAATTCGGGATTATCTATCTAGAACCCTGTCATAAATTACAGGTAGTCCTCGATTTACAACCATTCATTTAGTGACTGTTCCAAGTTACGACCTCGCTGGAAAAAAGTGACTTATGAACATTTTTCACACTTAACGACCATTGTAGCATCCCCCATAGTCACGTGATTTATATTCGAATGCTTAACAAGCAGTTCATATTTATGACAGTTGAAGGTTCCCAGGGTCACATCACGTGTTCCCTTTTTGCAACCTTCTGACAAGCAAAGTCAACGAGAAAACCAGATTCACTTAACAACCGGGTTACTAATTAAACAACTACAGTGATTCACTTAACAAAACATGGCAAGAAAATTTGTAAAAAGGGGCACAAGTCACTTAACAAATTTCTCACTTAGCAAACATCAATTTTGGGCTCAGTTGCCATAAGTTGAGGACTACCCAAGTGCTTATTTCGGGGTTCAAAAAAATATAAGAAAGGGTCTTATTTTTGGGGAAACACGGTACCTGTAGAACTGGGTCATATCCCTTTCTCAGGAACTCTTCATGTTTAAAGAGCAGTGGTTTATTTTTAAAATTAAAAAAATATATATTTTAAACTCGTGTGCCGTAATTCATTAACTTTGAACCTGCGAAAATGACAAGTTTTCATATTGTCAATTTTTTTTTCCCAGCGACAGTTCTTAGGAAGACTGGGAGAGACGTTTATAGAATTAAAAAAATAATAATCATGCTCTGTTCTTTAATTTGTCAAAATGAATATGCTGCATTGTTTTGTTTTCAACAAACAATTTCCAAGGTGTAAAATCTGCAGCCTGGAGGTTCAGCAGGATTGTTTGCTAATCTGGTTGGGGGGAAAAAGTAGTATTTACCTTTGTGGAGTCAGTTTTGCTTTCTCTCTTTTTTTTTAAACAAGTGAGAAAACGGATATATGATATCACAACTGGGATATCACAAATGATAATAAGATTATATTAAGTCTTAATGAGCACAGGGTTGTTTTTTTTTTTTGCTTGTTTGTTGCGAGAGGATCTAATTGGCGATGAAAAATGCGAGCGTTTTGTCTGCTGTCACAATAAACAATTTACTTGCTGTTTTTAATATTGCGAAGAGCGTAATGGATTAGAGATAGCTTCTGAAAACCTCAGTTCGCTTCCATGGGGAGGGGAATCTGGTTTAGAAGACGGGATTTATTTTATTCTCTTTTTAATTGGAGCTTTTTCAAAGCTTGAGAAAATGTTTAGATGCAGCTTTTTCCCTTTTTTCATCGGTATCTATGCCCAAGACATATTTCTTCTTTCTGAGCAACAACTCAAAAAATAACCCAAGAACGAATGAGAGACTTGCTACATTATTGTAGGGTTCTTGATAGAATTTAATAACCACTAATTTTCAGATTTATGCTTTAAGTTTCTATTGTGTATTGTAATCCTGGTGGATTTATGATTATGTTACTTTAGTGGAGAAGGAAAAAAGGTTTCAGTGAAGCTGAAGAAGCTTTTTGGATGAGAGGCAAAACATCTTCAAACACCCCCCGCCCCCCGAAAGTCCAGTTGCCTCTTGAAAAGGCACTTTTGGGACAATTATGACCTGGATGACTGAGAATCTCCAGAGACATTTAGCTGTACAAGAACTGAAGAAGCTTCTTGGATGAGAAGCGAAACGTCTTCAAAGAAAAAACAAAGTCCAGGTACCTCTTGAAAAAGCACCTTTAGGATTCAGTGAAGGATTTTTTAATTGTGAACTAAATGTCTTCCTCTAGATTGGGGGGGGGGGCAAACTTTTCAGTTCATTGACCTCTCCCATGAAGTTTCAGATAGTTCATTGACCCCAAACATGAAAATAATTTAATGAAGACCACATTGATAGTTCTCCAAATAATACGGTCGTACTAATAGTAATGGGTGCTTTGGGTGCAATTCCCAAATAATTGGAACACCATTTAAACACCATGGGCATTGACAAATTCACCATCAGTCAATTGCAAAAGGCAGCTTGACTTGGGAAGAGCTTACATCCTAAGAGGAGATCTTTAACACCATTAAACATCAGCGTGAAAAGGACTCAGTAGGCGGACAAAGGTGTCAAATCCAACCTGAACATCTGGCTAATTGTGCAACGAATCATCAAAATAATGCTGACCTCTTGGATAGTCTCTTGTCAATCTTAAGGGTTGATATTGACCACTTTGGAGAAGATTTTTCTGTAGCTAAAGGATCGATATTGTCATCCACACATTTTGTGTCCTTCATTGATTTTTTTCTTCTTCTTCTTTTCAGTACGTTGCTGTTAAGATAGAACAGGCACAATGATGCTGGTTTAGGCAAAAAGAAATTCCAGCTTATATCGGAGATAAAACTCAGAACATTGGTACGTGGTTAGCTAAAACTGGCCTAAGAAACTGAGCACATCGTAGTGTTTGATTTTAAAGAGCATAGTTTTTTTTAAAAAAATCACCCTTTTTATTCTTTCCAACTCAATGGAAAGTGCTTTGGGACCATGTCCGTGTATCAGTCTGTCATGAGGATAACTCTTTGGAAACTGGACAGAACGATGTTTGATGTTGCTGTAGGAGAGAAGCCAAGTAGCAAGAAATCAACTGGCCTGATCAGGCTGGAATTTGCAAAGAAAACGGGAGAAAAAACATTTGAACACTGGTGGAATGAAACTAACTGTTCATTCTGATTTGAAGCAAGGCATCCACGTAGCTTGTTGGAAAAGCTGCTTTAATAATTAGCATTTACTGAGATACTCTTGTTTCTGGAGTTGCAAGGATCTTTGGGTCACTTTTGGAACAAAGGAGAACTACTGGCTTCTTCCAGAACCAGCTAGTCTTGTCGGCTGAGCAAACAATATATTTCAATATTCTCCCCTATCCTGTATTCCCTTGAACGAAAAACATTGTTTTTAATTGCAAGGCGGATTTAAAAATACATTCACGTTTGAATATTTTACTTTAAGGGTAGGAGAATTGCGTTGGAATCTCTGTTGCTACAGGCACAAATTAAAAGGCTCCATGCTGTATATCGTTTTTTGATAATTACAGAAACTTGGAACTCTGATTTTGTCACATGCAAGCCTTCTCAAGTTGATTCTTAAATTGCAAAGCGCAGATTTAAATCTCACTACATTTTCTTGACTGTCCCTGAGCTCTCCTTTTCTAGATGTACCGAGAACGTTTCATACCTCATCTTAACTCTTTTCATCGAGCTGTGCTTTTTCAGCTTTCCATTCATCACAAAAGGAGCTTAAAAAGACGCAGACCCAGTTTTGAAAGGCGCTGGCAGCAAGTAAATTGTTTGCATGCAGCAAATAGTTCATAAAAGAATAATTTGCTGTAGGCTATAAGAGTGTCTGGGTATTTGAAGATGTTCACCCAGTGTATTCCTTCCTGTTCGAGGGATCCATCATTAGTATAACCTTGAAGTTTGTCCGTAACTTAAGTTCTTACAGTGAGTAAGTTTTTAAACTGAAGCAGTTTTAAGTTTTCTGATCAGCTGTCTAGGGAAGTTTGATAAAATATTCAGCGCAGCGTTCATTTGCTTGGTGGACTCCTGGGTGCATTGGATTGTTTTAGAGCTACTGTTGCTGTGCTATCTAATAAAGGATTCTCAGGTAGCTAGCCAAACCAAATTTATTTATTCTTTTTAACTACAGGATAAAACAGTTCATTTAGTGACAGTTCAAAGTTACCTAAATCGCCTAAATCTTCTCCCTTTTAAGTGCAAATTTTAAATTTTAATGTGTTTTAAAATATGGGTATTTTAAATTATGGGTATTAATTCAGCCAAATTTATTTAATTCATTTTATTCGATTTTAAATTTTTTATATGTATGTGTTTTATTTCATGGCTGTTCACCGCCCTGAGTCCTCCGGGAGTAGGGCGGTATAGAAATTCAATAAAACTAAACAAACTAAACTAAACAAGGCCACTGAAAAAAGGTGGCTTATGACCATTATTCACAGTTACGAACATTGCAACATCTCCGTGATCATGTGATCAAAATTCAAATGCTTGGCCACTGGCATGAACTTATGACAGTTGTAGTGACCTTCCGACAAGTGAAGTCAATGGGGAAGTCAGGTTCATTTAACGACCAGGTTACTAATTTATCAACAGCAATGATTCACGTAACAACTGTGTTAAGGAAGGTGGTAAAAGTCACTTAACAAATGTCTCACTTAACCACAGAAATTTGGGGCTCAATTATGGTCGTAAGCTGAGGACTACCTCTATATGTCACTCATCTCGCTATCCAGAGTTTCAGCCACATGGAAACCTGCCAGTTGCTTGTCAAGATCTTGATGGATTATTTGAGGGTTCTTTGTATACATCATCCTCAAATCCAAAGTTACAAGCATCCTATATTTTTAAAAAATCAGGATGCTTAACTGCTCAAATGGGAGAAATTCTGAGATTTGCCTGTACTTACAGCATGAATGGAGGTCTAATTCAGGCTATTTTCTGAAAGGCGGACTAGGACTCACAATGTTATTGTGATAAGAATGTTATCACAATCTTACTGTATTCCTATTTTCTTTTTAAAGTTAAAAGAGAAAATTGGCCAAACTGCATTTAAAAAACCCGAAACACCTCAAATGTTCTGGCTGATCGAAATTTCCCTTCGTATTTGTCACAAACACTGATCTTCTCAAAAGGGTTAATCTGTTAAATGCTTTTTCTTCTTCTTCTACAGATTGAGATAAAAATGAAGAAACCAGAAATTATACGATGGGAGAAATTAGAAGGACAAGAGAATTCTGATACACAAACAGCTGTACCAGGTTTGTGTTAGCATGCTGACTAACAAATAATCTTAGATTGAAAGGTGGCACCAGGAGAGAGTTGGGTAGATTTACAGACTGATCTGAGGGAACCATCTAGAAATAGAAATAGAATAACAGAGTTGGAAGGGACCTTGGAGGTCTTCTAGTCCAACCCCCTGCCCAGGCAGGAAACCTTACACCTCCTCAGACAAATGGTTATCCAACATCTTCTTAAAAACCTCCAGTGTTGAAGCATTCACAGCTTCTGCAGGCAAGTTGTTCCGCTGATTAATTGTTCTCACTGTCATGAAATTTCTCCTTAGTTCTAAGTTGCTTCTCTCCTTGATGAGTTTCCACCTGTTGCTTCTTGTCCTGCCCTCAGGTGCTTTGGAGAATAGCTTGACTCCCTCTTCTTTGGGGCAGCCCCTCAGATATTGGAAGGCTGCTATCATGTCCCCCCTAGTCCTTCTCTCCATTAAACTAGACATACCCAGTTCCTGCAACTGTTCTTCATATGTTTTAGCCTCCAGTCCCCTAATCCTCTTTGTTGCTCTTCGCTGCACTCTTTCTAGAGTCTCCACATCTTTTTTACATTGTGGCGACCAAACTGGATGCAATATTCCAAGTGTAGCCTTCCCAAGGCCTTATAAAATGGCATTAATACTTCACGTGATCTTGATTCTATCCCTCTGTTTATGCAGCCCAGAACTGTGTTGGCTTCTTTTGGCAGCTGCTGCACACGGCTGGCTCCTATCTAAATGGTTGTCCGTTAGGACTCCAAGATCCCTCTCACAGTTACTACTATTGAGCAAGGTACCACATATACGGTACCTGTGCATTTTGTTTTTCTAGTCTCCTTCCACGTTTAAATTTCCTTCCTATGTTTCCTTTTGCATGGGTCAGGATTCTTCATTAAAACCAATTCACAAAGTCACGATTGCCTCTCTCATTAAGCAAAGCTGGTCATAGATCTACAGTTCTTGGAGGCATTGTTAAAAGTTGGATTTTAGTGCTCTGCATAATAATAATAATAATAATAATAATGTGATGATGATGATGATGATGATGATGATGATATGTTAGAAAAACAGAATGGAGAACACTATAAAAAGAGCAATGCTTCCTTGAATCCTGATTTATCCAAGCAATAAGTCTGATTAGAGGGAAAGAAGCTTCAGAAAGGAAGATCAGCTATCTTGGGTATTCATTTTATGTTCAAATATTGTTGTGGCCTGTTGGCCGCCGGCCCCTCCAGCAGCCGAATCAGAGGAGGAGGAGGAGGTGTGGGAGTCAAGGTCAGCATGAAGGCAGCCTGAGAGCTCTGAGGGAAGAGGGAATGGAGCTGGCAGAGAGAGAGAGAGACAGAGGCAGAGCCTGGGCTGTCTGTCAGCCCTCAGATAGAGAATCAACAGCCGCCAGGTCTGGAGGTGGCTGATGAGGAAGAGGAGGAACAGCTGGGTCCAGTGCCTGATGTGCGGATGCGCAGAAGGCAGAGGAGAGGAGAGCAGTGGAAATCTATGGGTCGGTCCTTGGGACGGAGAAGCGCCACCACTGCTAGCGAAGCCCCTCCCTAGCTCTGGGATTAAAGGCAGGGGACGGAGATGAATAGATGTGACAGACAACTATTCATCTCCTGGACGGATGGACTTGTTAACCTGCTGTGAGAGAGAAATTTCTTGCCGGGGCTGCAAGCACTCCTAATAAAGGAATCTTTGAATTAACTTAAGAGGGTTTATATCGTGTTTGTAGAGCTGGGTCAGAACAAATATCTAGGCTTGGCTTTCCCAGCCAGAATTCTGGGAGTTGAAGTCCACAGTTCTTAAAGTTGCCAATTTTGGAGGCCCCTGTTCCATCCACGAGCAAAGAACATGTAATTTATAGCTTCAAAGCAAGATACACAAGGCAGAGTGATAGAAAAAAGGCACCTGTTGGAACTTAAACTTGCAAAGTTTTAAAAAAAAAACGGATCCAATTTTTTCCCATTTAACCGCTAAATTGATTATTGCTAAAGAGAAATATCTCCGTGGATCAATACTTTATCCATAAAAGTTGAGACATGGGGTTGATATTCCCTGCTTTAATTTGTTTTGCAGCTTCAAACCCCACGCATCACTATCCGTCATCTTCGCAGAACACGAAGAACTGGGATAAATTAGTGGTGGAAATCAAGGAAGAAGAGAAGAATGAAAAATTGGAAGGCGACGCGGCTTTGAACAAACTTTTCCAACAAATCTATTCGGACGGCACAGATGAAGTCAAACGTGCCATGAACAAATCATTTGTAAGATATTTTTTTTTCCCCTTCTTCATTCTTTTCTTTTTGCCCTGTGAATTTCGAGTTGGGTTTGTCACTTTTTTTTTTGTGCTTTAATTTATATGCCGCCCTTCTCCGGAGACTCAGGGCGGCTTACAATGTGCTCAGCAATAGCCTTCATACTTTTATATTTATACAAAGTCAGCTTATTGCCCCCACAAACTGGGTCCTCATTTCACCTACCTTAGAAAGGATGGAAGGCTGATTCGACCTTGAACCTGGCGAGATTTGAACCCTGCAGTAATTGCAGGCAGCTGGTCTTAATAACAGGGTGCTTTAGACCACTGTACTTCCAAGGCTCTGTAACATTGCAAATATAAACTGATTTTAGCATTTGAGAGAGAAACAACCTGTGGCAAAGCTATCTTTCTGTAAGGAAAAGACAGACTTCGTTTTCACTCATCAAACACAGACAGAAGGGACTTTGGAGGTCATCTAGTCCAACCCCCTGCTTAAGCAGGAGAGTACATTTTTCTTCTGTATTATTCCTTTCTTTCCTCCATCAATTAGATATTTTCTGAACTGACTACAATTGTGGTGGGAATTATTGAAGTATTGTCCAAAATGCCTTCCTCCTGTCTTCAGAAATCGATTGCTGATGTTGTAAAACCTCAGCAAAAAGTAAAAACTTTCGTTCACTGAAGGCTCATACATTATTTAATTCTTTTGCAGATGGAATCGGGCGGGACGGTGTTGAGCACAAATTGGTCTGACGTAGGTAAAAGAAAAGTAGAAGTCAATCCCCCGGAAGACATGGAATGGAAGAAGTTCTGATCGTGGTTCGTGGAACCCTGTTATATGCGGACAGAGAAGTCTTGAGGATGAAACCCTGAATGCTGGTTCAGAAGATGATTCCCGTTTTCGTGTCTTGACCTCCTGCAGCCAGACCTCTTCATGAAGATAACTTAAGAGCTTTAATCAGGAATGAGAGCTCTTGCTGCTGTTCCATGAAGGTGTTTTTTTAAAAGAAGGATTCGAACCCAGTCCTTGGCTCTCTTGGTGATGCATTTGGAGAATTAAGAAGGCGTTTAATTGGACTACTTAGGATTATTGCCTTATTAAATAACACTCGATCCCTTTAATTTATTTGCTCTAGATATATTGGGGTGAACACACGTTTTTGGCTGTAGTGTTAAAGATTGTTTGGCTTAACTTTGCTTCCAAATAAAATTGTAAATATATAACTTTTACTTAAAGAAGTCGGGCTCCTTTTGTCTGTTGAGCAGTTGCCAAGTGCAAGTTGTCATTGTGAGATTTAATGAGCTGTGTAGCCCATAAGGATGCTTCTGCATGATAAAATTAAGATTCACGCTACACTTTTCTATTAATAATAAAAAAATTGCTATTTTTTAAATGCTGTGTAAGCATTATAATACTTAACTGAGAACGGTGTTATAATTCGATGCCGTAAAATCAGGGTAACAGATTGGTTAAAGCATACACACATCATCACACAAGGTGGAATACTCATTTACTGACAGTAATTAGCACTGGGAACTCTTGTTAAGCAATGCGGTTAAAAAGAGCACAGTGGCTCGAGTGGTTGGAGCGCTTGGCAGGAGGTTAGCAAGCCTGCGTTCGAGACCCAGAGCTGCCATGGGGCATGGTTGAGCTCCTGTCCATGGCTCAAACTCCTGTCGAGGACATAAAAGGACCCTTCAATTCGGTGTCCCCAGAGCAAGGGTGATGTCATTGGCTAATCCTTTCAACCCAGAAGTGCCTCAGTGCTTCTTATACATGTTAAGCAAGGACTTCACATGACCACAACTTCCAGATTCCTGCCATTAATTTCGCTTGTATGAAACATAAAGGAACGTCCCAAGCCACCATGAAAGTCAGAAAGGCAGGATGTTGTGTGACTTTGTAATTGCCAGCAAGGTGCCAAACGCCCAGGGCACAATCGCACAAATCCAGCAACATTGCACTGACCATAAACATGAGATCCAGTTATAACAACTGTCAGGGTTCAATCATGAGCCTCGAGCCAAGCTTCAAAAGAAATTCAGTTATTTGGCACGTACCCAAATGAAGTCAACTCTGACCCACGTAATTTATGGCCCTAATCATGACCCTGTTTCCCCCCTTCCCCCAGGGTGTGTCATCAATCACATTCGCCAACGGAGCAATTTCACGGTTGTAGAGATCACTCCCCTCCGTCCGCTGTGGGTAACCCTGGGAGACAGCCTTGAGAAGATAAGTCTGGAATATGCTCCTGTCTTGGGCTGCTGTGTTGCTTCATTGGTTTCCCATCCCCCTTGCCTATGGCAACTCGAAAGCAGGCCAGGGAAGCTTTGCGAGCTGACGACAACGCTGAACAAGCGGTCGTTGAATGAGGACCATCTCTATTTCCGTGTTGCTTGAATTCTACGCCTCACCCGTACTATTAAAAGAATCTGGGTACTTGTTACCTCTCCTTCCTTCCCTAAATGAAATGTGAAACCATTCTAACCAGCCTGAATAATCAGAATTTCCTGTGCAATTAACAAATTACCTTTATTTCTAGAGAGAGTTAAGAGTCCCAACCCCACTGAACAGCGAAATTCCTGCAGTGACACAGATTATCATTTTTGCAACACCTCGCTGAATCCTTCTTTAAAAAAAGGAATCTTCCTTGTCATTTAAGGCTCATTTTGCAGAGCTCAAGAGAAAAATGCGGAGGAGTCCTGAGCCTTTAGTTCAAGTTGGGCTAATTCTCTCCACACCGATGGCTGCTTGATATCTTTTCTCATGGGAAGATTTCGTAGATTTGTTCAGATGTGAAATGCCTATTAAGAGGCCCTTTTGCGCTTTCATTAAAGGTACCATGTATCCCATTCAGATAACCAGGCAAAGATTTCATTGGGGGTTTTTTTGGGCCTCCTCGAGACAAAAAAAAGCGGCTGAATCTTTCAAAACGATTCCTTGTTTTTTTAAATTTCAACCTGAACTGAACGAGGCAGCGGAGAGGCCCAATCAGGAATTAAATGAGAGAGAGGCCTGTGAAAATTGTCTTCTGTTTCAAGTATATTTTGTTTAAGAGGTAAAATAGGAAAGAGAAAAACGAAAAAAAAAACAAAACATCTAGCGCTAGCAACAAAAAGGAAAAAAACAAGTTGGTGAACAAAAGAAGAAAAATAATCCAAATGCCAAGTAAATTTAATAGAATCCACCTCACCTGGACACCAAAAAAAGGAAGAAACATTAAATCTCCCCTTTTACAAATATATAGATGTGTGTGTGTGTCTATACACAGTCAGAACTGATGAAGCTGCTTGGATTAGAAGTGAAATATTTTCAAGTAAAGGAAAAAAAAAAACCGAAGAAAATCCAATTGTCTTTTGGAAAAAAATCTTTTCGGATATTCTCTGTTAAGGAATTCGCAGAGTAACCCTTGAATAGCAAGGGTGTGTACATGAAAGCGATTGAGAGTAGGTACGAATAAGCACAGTCAACACACAGATACACTGAGTTGTGTTTACTTTCAGGAAATAGTAAGGCACAGTCCAATAAACAGTCCAGGTCATACATACATAAAGCAGGAGATAGCAAAACGACAGTCCAGGGATAATCCAATAACAAAGTCTTCTTACCAGTCGTCGTAGTCATACACAAGAAACAGTTCTTCTGGATTTGCAAATAGTAGCATACAGAGATATCAGAACAAGAACAGCAAAGAAACAAACCATGTTTCTAGCTCCCTCTTAAGGAGATTGGCTACAGAGCTAACCAATCAGGACACAGTATGATGCAATACAGCAGTCTTAAAGCTATAGGGATGGTTTATATATTGCCAAACCAACAAGGTAGGTAATACTCATTTCCTAACATTCTTCATGTAAAATTTTACTCAGAGTAACTGTTAGCTAATAGCTGTTTCTACAACACACCTAAAGACTGCAAGGAAGCTTGCAAAAACCAGGGATAGTCCTCGATTTACGGCCACAATTGAGTCCAAAATTTATGTTGCTAAGCTAGACGGTTGTTAAATGAAATTTTCCCCACTTTATGACCTTTCTTGCCACAGTTGTTAAGTGACTCACCATGGTTGCTAAGTTAGTAACACGGTTGTTAAGTGAATCTGGCTCTGGCTTCCCTTGACTTTCCTTGTTAGAAGGTTGCCAAAGGGATCACATGACCGCAGGAGACTGCAACCGTCATAAGTACGTGCCAGTTGCCAAGCATTCTGAATTTGGATCACGTGAGCTGCAACAGTCGTAAGTATGAAAAACGATCACAAATCACTTTTTTCCAGCTACCTTCTAACTTCGGTCACTAAATGAACTGTTATAAGTCAAGGATTACCAGTACTTGTTTTTACATTTTATTTTTTTTTTCAAAATTAAACGCTAGAAATCTCTCTTGGGCCATGGAGACATAGAATGAATGGTGCTGAAATTTCAAAACTTGCATTTTGTTGTGCAGGGGTTTAAGAGAGAATGGGGGAATTCCTCCTACGTAAAATGAAATAAGATAGCTATTTCACTCGTTTTTCTCTTTCTTTTCTTCCTCCCTCCCTCTCTCCCTCCCTCTTTCTTTCTTTCTTTCTTTCTTATTCTTTTCTTTCTTTCTTTCCTTCTTTCTTTCTTTCTCTTTCCTTCCTTCCTTCCTTTTCTTTCTTTCCGTTCTTTCTTCCATTCTTTCTTTCTTCCTCCCTCCCTCCCTTTTTCCTTCCTTCTTTCTTTCTTCCGTTCTTTCTTTTCTTCCTCCCTCCTCCCTCCCTCCCTTTCTTTCTTTCTCTCCCTCCCTCCCTCCTTTCTTTCTCTTTCTCTTTCTTTCTCTTCCCTCCTTCCTTCTGTTCTTTTTTCCATTTTTTCTTTTCTTCCTCCCCCTTTCTTTCTTTCTTTCTTTCCTTCCTTCCTTTCCTTCCTTCTGTTCTTTCTTCCTTTCTTTTCTTTCTTTTCTTTCTTTCTTTCTTTCTTTCTTTTCTCTTTCTTTCTTTCTTTCTTTCTTTCTTGCTGTTTCCCTCCCTCCCTCCCTCCCTCCTTCCTTCCTTCTTCCTTCCTTCCTCCCTCCCTCCCTCCCTCCCTCCCTCCCTCCCTCCTTCCTTCTTCCTTCTCCCTCCCTCCCCCCTCCCTCCCTCCTCCTCCCTCCCTCCTCCCTCCCTCCCTCCCTCCCTCCCTTCTTTCTTTCTTTCTTTCTTCTCTCTTTCTTTCTTTCTTTCTTTCTTTTCTCTTTCCTTTCTTTCTTTCTTTCTTCAAAGCCAGTATTTTGAAGGTTGGGTCTCCATGCCGTTGCAAGAAACCCAGGGAAACTGCATTCAACACCCCCTTCTCTGGTGCCTCCTGCTTGCCCTTGGTAATAAAATAATGCTGTATTTTCTCAGCAGCAGTAGAGGGAGCTGAGCCCTAAATCAAAATCTGGCTGTACGGCCACCAGTGAAAAACTCCCATTTTCCTTTGACAAAAGACGAGAAATTAAATGTAAAAATCAAAGCAGAACTAAAGCTCATTCTGCGTTGGAGAAGCTTTTTCATAACCGTAAAAAAAAAACCCAGCACAATCTTTGCTAAGATGCAACTCCGGCTATCAACCCTTATGCTAAACCCTCATATATATATTTTGGGTCACAGAATACAGCAAAATCAAGATATTGGTGGCAGCGGCGGCTTTCCCAAAGAGGGATTTTAATGGCTTTTGCTGATCCCATAACCCCATTTTTAATTTTCAGTGCTTTGCTTTCGTCCTTTCATTTCTGGCAGCCGTTCAAAGAGAAAAGGAATAGGGAAATTAGTTCCTTTCCAGCTTTGTAATGATCCGGTCCTATCTGAATAAGACCAGAAAGGAGTTTTTTTCTTCGGTTTTAATTCATCCCTCTCTATATCGTGGGAAAAAAATAGTCTCGGGAACTAACCATCTTAACAGGAGCAAATGTTCACGCTTGTTTTGTTCAGCTAAGGGTGTGTAACAGGCTGAATTTCACTTAAGAAGGAATTTGTGTGTTGGAAAATTTATGTGGCTCAGAAGCAATACTTAAGGTTGCCAGAGGAATAGAATCAACATCACATGAAGTGTTAATACCACTTTATTTATTTATTTATTTATTTTTTTATTTATTTATTTATTTATTTATTTATTCATTCATTCATTTTCATTTATTTATTTATTTATTGGTTCGATTTATATGCCGCCCTTCTCCGGAGACTCAGGGCGGCTTACAATGCATTAAGCAATAGCCTTCATACTTTTGTATATACCTGCTTAGTAGGGCTTTC